AAACCACTGTTGCAACTGAACAGAGCAAGAAGAACTCACACCTGCTTTTGTTGCAGTATCTGCCTGCGATTTCAGTTTACGTTTATGATTCATGTTGCAATGAAGACTGCCAAGTCAAAGCCATCTGTGGCAGAGGGGACTGGCCCTGAAACTTCTGGAATAAAAGGCGAATAAGGAAGCATTTCTCTGTCTTCTGTTGATGTCAGTAGTTCACTTTTTTTTCCTAAGATTTTATTTATTTCAGAGAGAGAGAGAGAACATGAGAGGGAGGAGAGGGAGAGGGAGAGGGAGGATTCCAAGCTGACTCTGTGCCAAGCGCAGAGCCCAGTGCAGGGCTTGCTCTCACAACCCTGAGATCATGACCTGAACCAAAATCAAGAGCCGGATGCTTAACTGACTGAGCCACCCAGGGGCGCCCGCCTGTTATTTTAACTCTAACAAAATACTAAACACCTTTATCATTGAAATTTCTATGGGAAAGTAGCTTTATTCCTACTCACTTCTAGATTTAATTTTCCTTTTCTAATTGAAATGATTATTTTAAGTGATAATTTTTGATAAGGTCGATTTCGTAGAAATATAATTATCACATGATAGAATGGGCTGTATCATTTTTGTTTGCACCTATGCAAACTATATAAAAGAAGAATCAATATTCTATAAATGCATCCATTCAACACATTTTCAAACTATGTTCAACTGATGTGAAAAATAATTTTCCAGTTTATGGAGTAATAAAGCCCCATTGGGATAGTGATTAAAATTTAATTAACCCTAACCTAAAAATAGTGCTATCTTGGCAATATTCAGAGTTGTCATTCAGGAGCATGGTATGTCTTTCCAGTTACTATTTATCAAGTTTTATAGTTGTTCTTAAATAGGAAATCTCAAGAACGTTCCTAGGTATTTTGTGTTGCTTTGTTGTTGTTGTGATTGGCTTATTTTTCCTTTCGTAAATATTTTTCCTTTGGTAGTGATTTTTTGGATTTGTATTTGGTAGCGGCCTCTTTATTGAATTTAGATAAATTGATACTGTTTTTCAGTTGTATTTTCCAGGAAAATATGCACCATGGTATTATAAATAGTTCTAGGAAACGGAAGTAATAGTTCTTAACATTCCCTTTATTTTTACCTTGCTGAAGGCAGTTGGCCCACACTTAGGAACTGATTCTCACATGTTCTCCTCTGACCTGTCTGACATCGTGTCTGTTTCCTGCTCAGTCCCGAGTCCCTGGCTTCCGGATTCCCTGCTGGAACATGAGCTGTGCTGGGCGGCACCGCCTTCCAGGTTGGCCTTGCATTTCCCCCCAGCTCGGTCTTCTACTCTGCTCTTCCGCCACCCCCGTCTTCACCCCGTGCCTTCGCTTCTGACCTCGAGATGCTGCTTCTGCATCCCTAACTCCTGCCCCCAGTGGACGGTCCACCCAGAAAATTTCTGAACTAAGCTGACGCCCTCAGTGGTTCTGAAAAGCCAGAGCGTTTGTCCTCATAAACTTCCCTTTCTTTGGCTTTTTTCCTTCTGACTTGTCAGTGCCCTCCTGATGGTGGCACAGACGTCCCTTTCCATCACTGCTGTTGGGGACTTGGTGGCAGCAGGATGGGCCTCCTGCCGCATTCCCTGGCCCATGTGAAGCTCATTCCGCGGGGAACCTTTGACCTACCTCAGCAGTTGGTCTTGTTCCTTCCCTGTTCCTTGTCCGGCTGCGTTCTTATAGATTCTAGGTATCTTCCACCTTTTCTTTCTCTTCCTCCCAGCATCCACTTTGATGAGTCAATCAAAAATTGTTTTATCTCCTTTTTCCCTGAGCGTGATATTCTAGCAAAGCCTGACTATTGGATTTCTTAACTAAAGCTTCTACCTACATTAACAGTGGTTCTAGAGTAAGCTAGAAGAGTAAACTCAAGAGTAAACTGGGTAAATCATAAAATCATTAAAAGTATTTATTCCTTCTTGACGCCTAGATTTGTGGTATTGTCACTCAGGTTTTCTCATAGCTTGACCGGAGAAGATGGTGCCTCACCACCCTGGGGCCCCATCCTGTCTGTATGTTAGAATCACTAGGGGCTCCTAAAAATACTGCTTTAGGTTTCTTCTCAAGATCCTGATCTAACGGGTCTAGGGTGCGCTCCAGGTATTAGCACACGAACAAGAAGCCTCCAGCGATAATGTGCAACCAGAGTTGAGAGCCCTTGCAAATAGAGGAAGGCTCCCATTCCGTTCTTTCCTGGACCTCTCTTCCGGGTCTCCTGGATCTCTCTTCTGGGTCTCCTGGACCTCTCTTCCGGGTCTCCTGGACCTCTCTTCTCTCTCTTCCGGGTCTCCTGGACCTCTCTTCCAGGTCTCCTGGACCTCTCTTCTAGGTCTGTGAGATCCTCAGGCATGACTGAGACTGACTGATGGGTGTATTTCATAACCCTGGCTGAGGAACACGACAAAGAAAACCTTGGCGAATCTAATGTGATATGACCTGCTCCTGGCCAAGGCCCGTACCCCGAAAGCCTGGTCATTCTGAGATTCTTTTGTTTATCCAGCAGATAGGAGTTGTCTGTTAAGGTGATAGGCACTCTGCTGGGTGCTACAGGAACAATTTGACAAGGGCCCATCCTTCTGGGGCTGATAGTTGGTGATTCTGTTCTGGCCCTATAAAAGGATTCCTGTCCTGGGAAGACCTTCCTCCTTGTTGCTTATGCGGTGGCTGGACTTCCTCCTCCCTGTGTGGAGCATACTTAGCCTGCCAGATAAGGCCAAGGTGTCCTTCGTGGCTTGGAGAAATGAGCAGTACCTTGATTTCTTGACCTACCAACCAAACTAGGTTCTAAGAAGGTCTGGCTTCTAGCTTTGTAGCCCCAAACCCCTGTACCTTCTTTCTTAGGGAGCTTAGCTGGGCCATGAACCTGGAACCTCGAATTCTCATTTGGCTCGCTGGTAAAGGGTGAACCAAAGTCTTAAGACTAAAGGCTTCCCTGGGTGACCTGCTCCTGCCTCCTTTCTTCTGGGCTCACATCTTGCTTTTAACCTTGTCACTCTCACTGAAGGAGTAAGTAAGTTGTTGAAGAAATTCAGTTAAGGAAGACGAGAGCTTGCCACCTTCCCTACAGCCTGGAGCAGTGAGGCCACAGAGCCCACTCCTGTCTCCCTCTCCCTGGGCCCCTTGGTCTGCTTTGTCATGGGGGCACTGAGGCAGCCAGAGGTGAAATCTAACCCCACCAGCTGCAGGAAGCAGGGAGACATTTGAGACTGAAGGGAATAGTTGAATGGATACCAAAGTAGGTAAGCTATTGAAAGCCTAGGTGTAAGCGCGAGTTCTTTGTGTAATTAGACTACCATGTCTTTCTCTGGAAGGTGGGGCCTCCCTGAATACCCCAGAGCTACAACAGTGTCCCCACCCTCATCTGTGTGCTTGCCTGGAGAGCCTTCTCTGGAGGTCAGAATGTGTGTGATCAGGACCTGAGTCTTCACCATGCTTAGTGTCCACATCTAGCCAAGGGCGCCTTCCCTCAAAGTAGGCAGCTTGAAGACTCAACACGCGGTTCAGTGGTGGTGGCCACTTTTCAGGAGCATTTTGCACATCTCTTCCAGAATTGTATGTGACTTAGTTTTTTTGGAACCACTCTAGTGCTAGCAAGTGTTCGGTTTTTCTTCAGATCGGATTTGATATATTTTTTTTAAGATTATTTATTTATTTATTTGAGAGAGAGCAGAGCAAGGGAGAACATGGTGGGGGTGGGCAGGGGTAAAGGGAGAGGGAGAAGCAGACTCCCCACAAAGCAGGGAGCCCGATGCGGGACTCGATCCCAGGACCCTGGGATCATGATCTGAGCCGAAGGCAGACATTTAACCAACTGAGCCACCCAGGCACCCCAGATTTGATTTTTTATATAAGAAATCACTCAGAATGTACTTTGTGGCATAAGCTCTGTGTTGAGGTTGTAAATTAGATGGGAAGAGAGTCTCCATGACAAAGTTTGGAAAGGCTTTGAGTAAAAGCAGCATACATTCATTCAGTGAACAGTATTGAGTACATACTCTGGGCAGGCACTGCTCTAGACTCGGGGGGTATAGCAAGATTGGCATTCTAGCTCAACAAGTTAATAATAAAAAAACAGATAAAGAAGTTGCCAAATAAATACAAGTTCTAGAAAGAGGTACTATAAAGAAGACAAAGGAAGCAGGCAAGATGGCGGAGGGGCTGGTTTGGAGCCGGTGAGTGAGGAAGGCCTTACTGGGAAGAGACTCGAGTGACGTGAGGCACATGGCCACGTCCCGGTGTGTCCTGAGCAGTGGCATTGATAAATGGAAAGGCCCTAAGGTAGGAAGAGCTTGGCAGGTTTCAGGACTGTCAGAGGAACTGAGGGGAGAGTAGAGGACGGGCAGATGGCAGGAAATCAAACCGGCGATGTGGGCCCTGATTCTGAGGATGAGGGGAAGCGACTGGGAGTTTGAGTCTTTGCTGGAGTCAGTCCTTTGCCTTCCAATGTCATTATTTTGAAGAGCAATACTAATTTATATTGATGGCTTAAGGCCCACGTTAATTAGCTAGTGTTTGGGGGGTGGGAAGAAGCTGGGGACATATCCTTGAATCTTTGTGGAATGTCAGAGCAGGAAGATCTAAGAAGCTTGTGGTAGTGTTGCCTGGATGATGCATTAAGGTACTGCAGGGATGCTTTTTTGTTAATTGTTCCTTAGGAGCATTTGAATCTTTATCACATGTGTGTATTTTGTACGAAGCCTGTTTATTAATCTACCATCTGTGTGTGTGTAAGATGTGATTTTCACAGAAGCAGTGTAGATGTTGTGCGGATGAAAACACAAAGTGACTTTAAACCATTTCCTCCTCTGAGATAATTTGATAAATGCTGAGAGGCTGCTTGGCATTTGGATTTCTATGAAATCCAAGCATTGATAGTTAAGTGCCTTTGAAAAGTGAAATGTGCTTCTGTTTTCATAGATAACACTTCATTTTTCTATTTTAAATTACATCTTTTGCTCCTTTCCCCAGGCGACAGAAACAGACACCAAAATCAGAGTGTGCATGCGGGCCTACCATCTACTTGTGAAAAAACTGGGCTTTAATCCAAATGACATCATCTTTGACCCTAACATCCTCACCATTGGTACCGGGTTGGAAGAGCACAACTTGTATGCTGTTAATTTTATCCAGGCAACAAAAATCATTAAAGTAAGTATGGGTATTTTCTCTCTTCTACGCAGGACATCACTCAAATTTATCTCATGGCTCCAGTGAATAGTTTGAGCTAACATACCTGTTTATTGGCTGGGAATGTTGACAGTTTACTCTTAGGTAGTAAATTGGTTTTCTGAAACTTAGGGCCCTTTATTATTTTTCTTTGATGTGATGTTTTACGCTATGAAGTAGAATGTACATACTGAAGAAAATATATAAAAAATATAGGTTATAATAAATAATTAGGAAGCTTTCATAATAGCTTTCATGTAGGTCATGAAGCAGACAATGCCTAGCGCCCCCGTGACTCTCCCTTTCAGATTACACCCTCAACTTTTGAATTTTGTGATGCAGCCGTCATCCTGTTTTGTGATACCACTTTGTTGCTTTTCTTTATCATTTTATCGCTTACATACAGTCTGAATTATCCATGGATTTTGTGTTTGCAAATTCACCTACTTGCTAAAGTTTATTTGTGACCCCAAAATCAATTCTCTTGGTGCTTTTGCAATCATTCTCGGACACACCTGCGTGCAGAGAGGTGAACAATTCGAGTGGCCCAACCCACGTGTTCCCAGATGAGGTGAACAAACTCTGCTACTTGTTTCAGCTCTCATTCTGTAAACAAGTGTCCAATGCACGGTCTACGTAGTGCCATGTTTTTCACCGTTTTGGCTTTCTCTTGGTAATTTATTTCTCTGTCTAAATGGCCCCCAAGTATAGTGCGAAAGTGCTTCCTAATGTTCCTGGTTGCAGGAAGGCCGTGACGAGCCTTACGGAGAAAATGCTTGTGTTTCAATAAGCTTTGTTTAGACGTGAGTCATTGAGAGCCAGTTGGCCACGAGCTCGGTGTTAGTGAATCAATAGTATTCGTTAAACAAGATGTCTTTACACAGAAACAGACATGAAACAGGTTTGTGTATTGATGAGTAGATGAAAATTGTGTGACCAGGGGTTCACAGAAGCAAAACTCTACTTTTTCCCTGAGGAGCAGTGGTTCTCAATATTCCCAGATTCATTGTTCACGGTGACTTTATACAACATAACTCCCACAAATACCGAGAATCGGCTGTATAAACAATGCGGTTTAGTTTGGCCAATTTTTGAGCTTCATATAAATAGAGTCTTAAGGTTCTTAGGCCTTTTTGGCTTACCCAAACTTATTTAAAAAATTCATCTATGTTGTCGTAGCTTAGACTTTGTTCATTTTCATGAAGGTGTGACATTTCATCGTGTAACTATTCCACAATTAACTGTTCTGCTGTTGATAGACATTTGGTTTGTTTCCCATTTTGGACAGTATGAGCAATGCTGCCGTGGTCGTTCTTGTACGTGTAACTTGGGTGCACATGCGTTTCTCTACAGCGTATACCCCGGAAGTGGGATGCTCGGGTCACAGCAGTAGGTATGGTGAGCTGTCTCCCTAAACACTCGAGCTGGTTTGCACTTTAGCCGACAGGAAGTAGGAGTTCTTGCTGTTCCCACGAGCGTGCTGATGCTGGACACCGTCCTAAGGTGTGCTGGGAACCTCAGTTTCATTCTATCCTGTTAGAATTAGTCAAGGTTATTATGAATTAGGGAGTTGGTTCATTCAGGCTCCAGAAGCCTTTGAGTGAATGACAAAGTATTCTTGTCTCTGTGGTGTTCTTTCTCTGTTACCGACTCAGGAAATATTTTATGGCACACTCACTAGGTACCGCGGCCTCATCAGGCCCACTGAGGATATCTACAGAGATAAGGCAGAATTTTTTATTTTCCCTCAGGGATATTAGAGTCTAGTAGGAAAAACTATCTATGAGGCAGTGCTTTGGCAATGCCATAATATGGCAAGTTTTGGTCTCTGTCTGGCTAAAAAAGCTCCGGATTATGTCGAACTTCATGTTTTTTACTTTCCACTCTTACATATAAAGCTTGAGGGCTGTGATTGCTTCTTTTGGCAAAATAGGGAAATCTTTTCACATTTTAAAATTTTTGCCAGGAAACCCTACCTGGAGCCCGAGTAAGTGGAGGTCTTTCCAACTTGTCCTTCTCTTTCCGTGGAATGGAAGCCATTCGAGAAGCAATGCATGGGGTTTTCCTTTACCACGCAATCAAGGTACGGTAGAACACCGGTTTGCCCTTCGAAAGCAGCTTAGGGCAGGGGTTTGCCCCCTTTGGGGGGACTGACTCTGGCCTGCTGCCAGACTCTGTGAATAATGTCTTATTCGTGCTATTTATGTTGTCCGTGGCAGCTTTTCTGGGACAGTTGCAGAGCTGAGTAGCTGTGACAGAGACCATGACCTAAAAATATTTTCTACAGAAAATGTTTGCTGACTCCTGATGTAGAGTATCCCTGGAAATCCTCATTTTTTTCTTTTTCTTGCCCTTAGTTTGGTATGGACATGGGGATAGTGAATGCGGGAAGCCTCCCGGTATATGATGATATCCACAAGGAGCTTCTCCAGCTCTGTGAAGATCTCATCTGGAATAAAGACCCTGAAGCCACTGAGAAGCTCCTGCGCTATGCTCAGGTAGAGAGAAAAGTGTTCTGATGAGCGCTTTTCCTGCCTTCGAACTTGTCACCCACTTACAGTTATTTGACCTCTGTTGTAGACCAGGAGCAGGCGTCTAATCATGTCTTTGGGTCACTGAAGATTTCTACAGAGAGTCCCAGAGAAGCCATTTTAGTTAAGGGTCTAGGTTTCTTTGAATTTATTTTAAATGGTAAAACTAATTCCGTCCCATACCGAAGTAACACATAGTTATTCTAGAAAATTTACAAAATATAGACAAGCAAAAGAAGGAAATAAAAATCACTCAGAACCCCGTCACCCAAAGTTAACCACTGTTGAGATGTTATGACCTTCCAGTCATGGTTTTGGTTTATTTTCAAAATGATTATGTCCTCACAGATGTGTACACACACACACACACTCACACACACGCACACACACACAGTTTTACAAAAACAGACCTCTATTCTAGATGCTTTTTGGTAACCTATTTGTTTAGCAGTATATTGGGAACATCTTTCCATTTTACGAGATACTTTTCCACCTCATAATTTAAATTTGCTATTTTGGCTTTTCTTGTGTGGCTGTGTTATTACTTGGTACCCATTGCAATGTGTTTACATTTGTTTATATCAGGATCTGGTCCATCTGTGGCAAGGTTCTGCAGTTTGAGGCTTGGGGGTCTATTCACATTTGATCTAAAGACATGAGAATATGATAGTTAATCCAAAAATTGGTTCCTTGTTTCCCTCTTACTATGTGCCGGGCAGTCATAGGTACATTGAGCATCTATCATAGGTGCTGCTTCCTGGAATTCTGTTTAAGGGGAGATGAGATCTTTACCTCAAAAAAAACCTTTTAATTTACTTCAGAAAGCAATGGCAAGGAAGGACATTTTCTCACAAAGTACGTGGGGAAGGTGGTAGAATGCTTTCATGGATGTTGTCCCCTTTGTTAATGCTTTCCGTGTTAGAATCTGAATATAACTCTGGCAGAAATGTTCACTTTTCCTCTTCCATCGCAGAGTGAGTGCTAGAGTGTTCTGGAAGAAGGCTAGGACCGTTTAGGATTAACTGCATCCTTGATTTATCAGCTTTATGGGTGGCAAGATTTAAATTTCTGAAATTGCCGTAGGCTCAGCAAAGCTGATGGAGATCAGACTGTGCCGGCGAACACAGGACCCTCCTCCCAGTTCCTTAAAAACTTTGCTGATTTCTCTTGTGGATCCAGGACAGAATGTCTCAGGTCTTGATTATTGCAAATATAATCATGTTCTGCTTCTCAGCTCATTGCATAAGAAACAGTCTCTAGATCTGCCCCCCACCCCCTTTCCAGGGCTCTTTCTGCTCATCTAGACAAAGTACTTAGCCCCTGAGTGTGGAACACTACCCTGTTTTCTTCTTCGCCTGTGTTCCACCCAGTGGAATAGTAACTCAGACAGGGTTCTGTTGAAGGCCAAAAGGGCATCACAGGTTCTATAAACATGAAGTTATGCTAGAGAGTTCTTAACCCACTCAAGGATGCGCTATTTCAATTTTTCCTCCACTCTCTCACGTAGGAAAGATCGGGCTCCTTCATTGGAAGACTGTTCTCATTTAAGGTGTTGTTGACTTTGTATTTTATGTCAGTCATTCTTTTGGGTCTGTTCACTGTTAGCATTTGTTTACAAGTTTTTCTTTCTACATGTTGTGCTGAGCTGTCAAGAGGTTTTGCCTCTGGGGCACAGCCAAACTGAGGGAAATCTTAATAGCAATTGCAAGAGTTTAATAATCCATCATATAAGAAATTTCCTCCCTCTTAATGTAACCACAAGGACTTATTACAAGCCATTGACCCCTCTGTCAAGTAGGCTGTCTACATTCAAGGTGACTTCTGTTACCATTAAGGGAATTAATAACCAAAACAGGTATACTTAATAAGTCCCAGGAGTTGCCAGCTCTGTAGCAATTTCTCAGGATATACTGAGTGCAAATGGAGCATAAAAAGCAGTGAAGTTAAGAGGCAAATAAGGGGCAAGGATTTTTTTTTTCCTTTGTAAGAGAATGATTATCTCTTTTTGTTACTAAATGATGAAGTCTGCACCCAAGTTCCTGTGTGATATGTTATTGAAAAGGTGGAGGGGCACCTGGGTGGCTCAGTTGGTTAAGTATCTGCCTTCAGCTCAGCTCATAATCTTGGGTCCTGGGATCGAGCCCCGCGTCAGGCTCCCTGCTCAGTGGAGAGTCTGCTTCTCCCTCTCCCTCTGCCCCTCCCCTTGCTTGTTCTCTCTCTTTCTCTCTCTCTCAAATAAAATCTTAAAAGAAAAGGTGGAAAGAGTCTTTTCTCTGATCTTGCTAAGCTCTCTAATCCCACTTTGGGGGACTTAATGGGTTTATCGAAAAATAATTGTTTAAATTTGGCGCAGCCTGACCTGTGGTAAGTAAATTATTTTTGGTAACAAAAAGTTCCAGGAATCATGGTACCGTATGATTTCCATGGAGTTTTTTTCTTTCCTTTTTTTCCCATGGAGTTTCTTTATTAAGTGGTACCCTAACAGAGGTCATGACCCCTTTGGCCTGGAAGGATCTCTGCTCTGAATACAGTGGCTCCTGAATGACCTTGGGTTGTGAGAATATTTTTGATGCTTTTCTGGGAAAAAAGTTATTGGATCCTTGGTCTGTCCTTCATCTTCCTCATTGCCACTGGAGGTCATGTTCTTCTTCGTCTTCCTCTCGAGCAGTTTACTCCCCTTGATGCCTGTCCAGCTTTTTTGTTTGTCAGAAACAAAGCACAGATCCCGTGGGGAGCCTCTGACTCGGGATCTACTCTAGAGTAGTAGCGACAGAGACACGGATAGCCAGATGGACATGACCGTTGGTCGGTTTGCTCGGTAACCTTGTGTTTGATGAGCATCCACAGTGTGGCTGATGTGTGGTCCCACCTGTGCGGATTTTGCACTTCGATTGTGGAGAGCATTCTCTCAAATAACTAGTTGCAAAGCAAGGTGGGCTCAGCATGCCATGTTGTACTCCTGAAATAGCAGCTTTCAAGTGTGCCTTTTGTTTTAAGTTTTGATTTTCTGAAGCACAGTCATCAGGTTGGGTAGTTTTCATTCGTTGCAGCCTCCGACACTCGGATGAAATCTTTGTTGGCCCTCCCCGGATCCTCAGTAGCCACTGTTCATCGTCACGTAGGTCCTGACCGCTCCCGCCCCATGGCGCTGCGCACCCTGGGATCTTTCTGTGACCACACCAGGTCCTTTCTCCAAGAGTGTTAGGAACCCTGTCCTGTTTTCACTCCTCAGACTCTGTCCCACCCGCAGGGATTGCCCAATGCCATGGCTAACAGGGCAAATGGTGCATCGCACGTATCAAGTGAGAGGATTGTGAGCTTCAGAAGGACTTCCTTTTCTCTTCTCTTTTTGGTTTTCTTCTGGCATTGCCTCACAGCTCTGGTTTGGGTTTTTCTTCTTTATGGCTGAATAGTATTACCTTGTATGTGTCTCTGCCACATTTTCTGTGTCTGTTCATCCACTCATGCACATTTAGGTCACTTCTGTGCCCGGCTACTGGCAATAATGCTGCCAGTCATTCTTTTGGAGTCACCATCTTTAGTTTTTCTGGTAGGGGAGGAAGCCCTTGTGCCATCAGTCTTGCTGTTAGCACCCTAGCCCTGCGGTTCTGGGGGCTCTCCCCGGGTCCTTCCTTCCTTCTCTTCTAACATGGTGTCCGTTATGTAATGTCTTTATGCTTGTCTTCTTTCCTTCCTGTCACCACCGCTGTGGTCCAGGCCTTGACCACAGACTTTTAAAATCTCTTCCCCCTTCTGGGGTGCTCTTAAAAATACTGCTTTGCTATTCTGCAGCTTCAGAATTTTTAAAGATTTTATTTATTTATTTGACAGAGGGAGAGAAAGCAAGAGAGGGAACACAAGCAGGGGGAGTGGGAGAGGGAGAAGCAGGCTTCCCACCGAGCAGGGAGCCAATGCGGGGCTCGATCCCAGGACCCTGGGACCATGACCTGAGCCGAAGGCAGACGCCTAACCGACTGAGCCACCCAGGCGCCCCAGCAGCTTCAGAATTTTGAATGTGGTCCTGCTCTCACCGCCCCCCTTCCCTACCTGCCTGGAAGGTTAAATCCAAACTCGATAGCGTGGATTTCTGGTGCTCTGTGACTTGGCCTCTACTATCCTGCATAAACGTGGCTCCAGAAAATCTGGTTTTGTTCAGCATTAAATCACTCAGTTAATATTTACTGAGCTCTTGTTCTGTGCTGTGCACTTCCCTGAGCATAGAGGATCTAACCAGTAAGAGAGATGGGCCCCTCCAGGGCCTACGGTTGAGTGAGGTGTACGAAAAGCAAGAGGCATTTGTAACCCAGTCGGGTTGGTGCTGGGATAGGGCAAGTGCAGGAGGCTGTGAGAATGCACAGGAGGGCTCCTGATCCCAAAGGTAGAGGTGGTGCGGGCAGCCTTCCCAGGAGGCGCGGGTCAGGGCAGACATGAAAGCTAAATGGGACTTAGCCAGGCTGGGCTCTGGCATTGGAGTGCAGGGCTGGTGGTCCCTGCCAGGGCGGGGAATTTGCATCTCGCCGGGGACCGGCGTGAGGGTAGGTGCTGAATAAATGTGTGTCATGCGAATGAATGTGGCGGTCCAGAGGTGAAAGAGATGACAGAGAGTGTGAGGAACTGAAGTGTTTGGGAGAGCTGAGCTTGCTGGGCATGGCAGAAGATGAAGCAGTCGGAGAGAGCCAGCGGGGGGCTTTGCATGGCACCGAGAGCAGCCTTGAAAAGGAGTCCTTGGCATGGAAGCTACTCTGTCCTGGGAGGGATGGGACACTTATGATGACTTTTGTCACGTGGGGGTGGTTTAAGGAGATTGGCAGTTTGGGAAGGCCCCTCTGGTGACAGCGCAGATGATACACTGCGGTCTGGGGGGATTCTGGGCTGCAGAGAGACCAGCTAGTGGCCTGGACCATGAAAATGTGGAAACGGGGCAGGAAGTTTAGAGGAGGTGTAGTCATTAGGACTCGGGGAGTGACCGAACGAGAGGAATGAATATTAAAGAATGTTCCGTAGATTTTTGGTTGGGGCGAGTGATTTCACCAGTTGATGTGGAGAAAACAGATAATAAGGTCATGCAGTTCACCTGATGGGCCTCGATTGTGGCACTTTTTGTCCCTTTGCTGAAGCCATCCATTTCTTCGAGGTCTCTCTCCACCCTGGTTTGTGATGATGACTCGTTGCTCAAAGTTCTCGGTCTAGTTTATATCACGCAGTTGTCTGTATTATCTGCTCATTCAGACCCTGGCGCGTGCTTTCTCTGGTGGCCTGCCCTCTCTGCCTCCCCTAGGATGTGGCCACGTCCTGGAGGTCGTAGACCATGTCCTGCGGCTCTTGGCATGCCCACCTCCCGGATGCTGACTCCACCCATCAGCTCTCTGCACATATTTGTGGGTAATGATGCTCCTTGTGGAGGGCTCTGGAGGCCCCTCACATGTGGGGAAGAGCTTCTCTTACTACCCTGGAAATCCTTCATTTGAAGTTGTTACCTTGTAGGAAAGGAAGAACGGGGCCTCACTCTGTCCTTCTGCTACAGGATCAAATCCTGAAAGACCTCGCCTTATCTCTCCTTCCTGCAAACATTTATTGAGACCTTAATTCATGCTGGATACTCAGCTAAGTGCTGGTAGTATATGAGAAGAATGAGGCACAGTTTTTTGCTCCCACGTAGTTCAAGGAGGGCCTGTTGTACCCATCTGTTTGTCCTAATTTCAACTCAGACTCATGGCAAAGGAGGGAAGAAAGTCATCCAGACTGATGAGTGGAGGAATGGCCCCATCGAAGAACGCCTGGAGTATGCCCTCGTGAAGGTGAGTTGTGGGAGCCTGGAGTGAGCGTGAACGGGACGGCTGGAGGGGAGAGTCCCTAGACCAGCCCCGAGGGAGTGTGCCCTCACCCCAACCACCTCCAGGACCGTTGGCTGGGTTTGGAGATATTTTTGGTTGTCACAGAAGGGGGTGGGAGGTGTTCCTGGCATCCAGTGGCCAGGGATGCTGTGGACATCCCATAGTGCACAGGATAGGCTCCACATGACAGTCGTTCAGCCCAGAATGTCTGTGGTGCCAAGGCTGAGAAACGCTCTCCTAGACCAAATTGCTGTCTTTTGATCAACAGGCAAGTCTGGGCTCTTCTGCTGATAATTGGAATTTTTTTTTTAAGATTTTATTATTTATATGTCAGAGTGAGAGAGAGCAAGCCCAATGAGGAGGAGTGGCAGAGGGAGAGGGCAAAGCAGACTCCCTGCTGAGCAGGGAGCCTGATGCTGGACTCGATCCCAGGACCCTGGGATCATGACCTGAGCCAAGGCAGACACTTAACTGACTAAGCCACCTAGGCATCCTGATAATTGGAATTTTAGACAACATAATCTCTTGGCTTCATTGTCCTCATTGTGGTCTGGAGAATTTCAGGTTTTTTTTTTGGCTCTCAAATTTAACTTTTAACTTCTTGAAGCTTTTGAGATTCACATATTTGAAGTTGTGCAATCAGTCAGCCACATCCAAGGGACATCAAACTGCGGACACGGAGGATTGGGGCTTGATCAGTGAAGGCTGGAGAAGCCCACGGAGGCTTCATGGATTTGAACTTTACCTCAGGGTCCTGCCCATTGTCATTCCTCCCCCAGCCCTAGAGCTTCATAGGGACAAAACATGCTGATTTCACAGGAGATCCTTAGTAAGGGATACTCTGTGAACCACTAGGATGCAAAGTGTATTTTATGATGAATTTGAACTTTACTTACTAGTATTCCTTCTCTCACTAGTAACACAGTTTTACTGAGTACTTACGTTCTATCAGTCCAGTCATCTAAGCACTTTACATAGGGTATTTCATTTAATCCTCAAAATAACCACCTGAGGCAGGTGCTATATGACAATTTAATTTAGGAAACTGAGGCTTGGTAAATTGCTAAGATTAGTGATAGGAGCCAGGATTTGAACCCATGCAATCTGATTCTAAAACCTGAACTCTTAAGCATTTCCATGATTCATTCTTTATTGGGTATTTGGACTTAAGCCGATTTTTAATGTGATTTTTTTTCCCCTAACTTTATTTTTTTTAAATAGGGTATTGAAAAATATATTATTGAGGACACTGAGGAAGCCAGGTTAAACCAGGAAAAATATCCCCGGCCTCTGAATATAATCGAAGGGCCTCTGATGAACGGCATGAAAGTTGTCGGTGACCTTTTTGGAGCTGGAAAAATGTTTCTACCTCAGGTTGGCAAAAGATGGGGAAAGGGGGGTAGTTTTTACAACCAGAAGAAAAAGACTTTGTCTTTTAATAAATAGTAAGTTTGGGTATATTTCTCAGGTTTTGGTTTTGATAAGAGCTTGTGGACATTTGAGATCGGGTCATTCTTTCTCTAAATGTGTTCAGGAGTAGTGTCTGGAAGGTCCATCTTTAGGGTGAGGTGCAGGTTAGAGGTCATTGGAAACTGTTAGCATTCTGATCTCCATGTTTGGATCTGTGTCCCATCTGTTACTCCCAGCACCCATCTGCTCTTCCCCCAAGTTACAATAAAACCCAAGATGAATGTAAAGTTCATAGCATTTGCGTTTGATTTGCCAGCTAGTATTCATCTTTAAGGATGTGTATTTTGAACAAATCATTCCCATTTAAAATAGTGATATACATTACATTGTAACTTTTGAGAAAGCCAGAACTCTCATTTTGATTTATAGAAGCTGCTGACCACATCAGTGAACAAACTTGTGTTGAGCCATCAGGGTGAGGGCTGCGAGGCATTACACAAAACTGAAAGGCCCTGTTTTTGTTTCTGTTTTTTTTTATTACTTATTCTGTATTCAATTCATTGCCCATTTCCTTTATAACATTTACCCCCTTTTTTAAACAGCTTTATTGTTTTATAATTAACATACAGTGAAGTGCACATATTTAGAGGATGCAGTCTGATGAGTTTTAACACAGGCACCAGTGAAACTCTCGCCACACTCGAGCTGAGGGGCGTTTCCTTGTCCAGTCCTCTTAATCTCCTCCAGCCTGTGACAGTTCCTCCGTCTTGGTTCTTCATGGTGCTGACTTATTTTTCACTTTGCATTTTTGAGTAAACATTAGACATTTTGCAGTGTAGTTTGAAAAATGTCTTGTTTCCCTCCCCCAACTTCTTCCACTCATGTTAGCGTTTTTACTTGACCCTCGCGCAGTTAGCAGAACTCAGAAATTAACATCGACGTAATGCTGTTAAAGAAGGACCTCATTCGCATTCACCAGTTTTTCCACTACTGTTTTCTTTTTATTCCAAGATCCCACACTACTTTTTTATCGTACCTTCCTCAGTACAGTACAGTTAGTATGTAGACTGTTCCTCAGTTTGAGTTTATCTGATGTTTGCTCATTCTTCGGCAAGAATAAGAGCGTTGCTGTGCCCCTCACAGTGGATCTTATCAGAAATTCCAGAATGTTGCTGGGTCTCATTAATGGTTATATGAACTCTGCTCGTTTGGTTAATGGTGTCTGCTAGGTTTCCTGCCCTGTGAGTTTACTTGTAGGGAGAAACTTGGAGACTGCGCAAATATCCTGTTTCCCATCATACTTCCACCCATGAATTTTAGCATACATTGATGAATTTTGTAAAAGGCCCTGTTCTTGCTTAAGCATGAGCCTTAATTATAAGTGAATTGTAATGCTGGGGATCGAGAGGAGAAGGCTGAGAAAGGGCTCGTGCTGGAAAAGGATGCCTAGAACCTGGAGAAGTGATAGACAGCCTTCTAGGCTGAGGAAAAAATACCGTGCAGAAGTTAGGAAGACAGAAACCACAGCATGCGGGTCCTAGCCTTGTTTTCCTTCTGCTATGCCTTGTTCATCGTCTTTCCCCACAAGGAACTTGTTCCTTATCCTGTCTGCTGTCAAAAGTGGACTCCAGTGGTCAAAGCTTGCGTTCTTGATTTATGCTGAAATTCACAAGTGGCCATCAGCAACCATTTAGGATCAGGTAAAGACGCCCGACTCTGTGTGTTTTTCCTAGGTTATAAAGTCAGCTCGAGTCATGAAGAAGGCTGTTGGCCACCTTATTCCCTTCATGGAAAAAGAAAGAGAAGAAAATAAAATGCATGCTGGCATAGAAGAAGAAGAGGCAAGTCATTTTGTCTGGGCCGCTGAGCCCTGTGAGCACTTGGCCTCAAAGACTTACTGGGGTGGGGTAGGGACCATGGGGCGTGGCTGTGCTTGTCATTGAAGATAAAATAGAGCAACGATCTCTTTGACCCAGTCTCAGAATACCCTGGGCTTTTCCTTTGAGTGTGGCTTTGTGAATTTTTAATATGAACATAGTTTTTCAGATAGAGCCCATGATTTCAAATCAAAACCAGTTCGTTCATTCATCTGCTGACCATTTAACAGAGCTCCAACTATGTGCCCAGCACGGTGCTCCACACTATAGCTTTAGAGCTCGGTCCCTGCCCTTGAGGTAACTGAGTGATGTGTGGTTTTGGAAAACCTCTTCACTGATTTGTCTTTGTACACTGGTAACGTTCTTGGCACTGCTTCTGGATCCAGTTTAATTCCTGCTGGCTGCACCACCAGAGTAAATCATTAAGCTTTGACCTTGTTTAGCGTCCTGTGAAGCTCAGCCGGCTTTGGCCTGTGGGATTCTGAATTCTTATATTGATGTTTGTCAATGGCTCCGACAGATGTAGAATCCCACTTGCCTTGCATGCCCTTTTCTTTTCTCTTTTTAAAAAAATGATTTATTCATTCATTTAGTTACGTATTTGGGAGAAGGGGTGCCCACAATGCATAGCACAATGGTATTAAAGAAACAAAATATAATGAAATGCCCCTGCAGTGGGCTGTTGAGATGGTGACTCGGGTTCCGACGGGCCGTATGCACTCTCTAGCTTCTCCCTCTGGTCCCTCCTTCTCCCTTACTGCTCACAATAAATATTCATCAGACAGCGTTTTTGGAGTTAAGGATATGTTTTTCAGCTAGGGGACTGTTTTGTAGTTGACCTTAACCTGTTCTTTGAGGTGATGGAACCCCCGGATGAAGCTTCTTGGGCTAACCAACGAGGCAGGCCTCCTTCAACCAGCTCGGGCTTACAGCTTTCTACTGGCAGAGCATGTGATGTGGGTTCTAGGTCTGCTTTTGAGGTTGTCTTGGTTTTATGAAAGTGCTTTCTGTGGCAACACCTGTCTGGCTCTAGGGAATTAGGTGATCTGCTCTAAGTGAGCACAGCAATGCTCAGCTGCGTGGCTTACTCCCCAGGATCCTTACCAGGGCACCATTGTGTTGGCTACTGTGAAGGGTGACGTGCACGACATAGGCAAGAACATAGTTGGCGTGGTCCTTGGCTGCAATAATTTCAGGTAAGTTAAGACCCACCTCTTTCAACCCCTTTCTTATTTGAAAATAAAAGCATTAACAGGATGGTTCTTTATTGGTCAGGAGGGGGAGGGTATGGCTGTGGATATTGTAGATGATTTTTAATTTCTGTTTCCTGACTCTGTTTTGTACATTCTCTACATTGAATACACCTTTTCAAATGAAATAAATTAGTAATTAATCTGTGATCTGTGTGGTAAGGACAAAAAGAACAGTAAAAGCTATTCCAGCAGGGTCAGAACAACCAAGAGGCTTCTTGAGAATTGACCTTGGGCCTAGGCTCTAATAACTAGAACACTGGGGTCCTGCCCATAGCCAGTGGCATGGGGCATGTTCTGTTTTTCTTCTCAATAAAGTGGCATGTTTTAGAACTGAGATCTTATAAGACTTTGGCTAAATGGGGTTTTGTAAAAAGGCTTTGTACAGTTCTCTCTTTCCTCTGCTTAGAACAGGATGCATCCCTCTTGGAAACAATGAAGCTAGATTTTGTAATGTTGTATAGAAGTAAAATCTCTGGCTGACATATCTCATTAGAGTGAATGTTCAGCCCTCAATTATTTCCATGTGAGAGCTGATGACCGTAAGTGTACATTTTGCCCAGATTTCAACATACTCTTTATGATCAGAAGCCTAATACAACTAATGCCTTCTCTGGTCCGTGTCCAACCACCAGTCCCTTTGATTCATGGACTTCTTTCCAATGTGCTGTTTTCTCTGTGAAGTAGGGAGCCCCTCACAGGTGTCCCCTGCTGTCCCATGACAATTCCCTGTTGATCCCCTCTCTCTCTCATCTTGGTTAACCATCTCTGCCTTCCAGGCAATTCAGTGCAACCAGGAAGCACTCAGGGAGGCTCCAGATGGAGGAGCCGCGTCAGGATGGCACCTTTCTGCCTCTGTCTTCACTGGTGTTTCTGTTTGCTGCCTACTCACTGTCAGAACACTTAGCACTTCCTTCTTGTCCTTGGAAATGAATATTGTTCTTGGAATGCATTCATTATTTTTTAAATGATAAATATATTGGAGATACTGCGGAGGTGATTGTAATGAGATTTCCCCCGTAGAATAAGTATTTGGTTAAGGTGTTTGCTTCCTGAAATTTACAAGACATTTCTGCTCTTGTCTCACCTTTTCAAGTCCCGTGTTGTTGGCTTCTGTTGGCATTCATCATAATTAGTTAAAATTGAATTCAGCTTGTAAATGTGAATAGGTCATCTCCTATACACCACACGTTGTACTAGCGACACTAGAAATGGTTTAGTTGGCGTTTCTCAAGAATTCAAGGAATTTATTGTTTACTAAATATCCAGGTTACATAGCCAACCGTGATCATGGAACAGAAACTGTTGAAAAAAGCAGTTTGTAGATGAACTTCCTAAAGCAATTCTTGAGATATAATTGTCATGTGTTTATAATTTTTTATTTTGAAAAATGGTAAGTAGCCAAGAGAGTCACACTAGGGATGTTTTTTTCCTCCAGTAGAGACATTGTAAGAGGCCAGGGAGAACTGTGGCATTTCTCCAGGGTGCTCCTAGCGCGGAATGTCAGCATTTGTGAAAGCCTGCTTATTAAACCCGAGGCTTTCCTCCAGCACATCTAGTCCTTTGTCTTGTGCATTGAAAGTCTGCTTATCTTTGCTCATAAGTCTAACTGGAGGAATATCTTCTCCAGTGAAACTGTAATTATTCCTTTTATAAAAATATAAGTGAATGTGCAAACATTTTCTATCCCTTCAGACACCCTTTTGGGTCTTGTGTCTCTTAACAAGTGGCCCCCTGGTCAGTTTAATTTTATGGTGTCAGCTAGTAGACAAGTGCCCCGAAAATCTACCTTATGTAGTTAAACGTGTACTTTTGCTGAGCATCAGGTTTCTAGGCTGGATTTGGGGTGAACCACCCAGCTAGTGAGTAAGTCTAGCAAACCATCCGGTACCAAATCCTATTACAACTTTCTAGTTCCTGGCTGTTTGTCATTGATGCAGAAAATCTAATAAAATGGAAAGAACTTCGTTCTTTGTGAAGGAAAAGAAAGTAAAGGGGACTAAAGGCGATAGTCCTGTCTAGACAGAGAACATTTTTATGGGGATGATGCATTAGATTCTATGTTATAATAGAATGTATAAATTTGAGAATTTGAATAGAGCTCAGGGATGTATCCACTGAGAGTCTACTAATACCTAACATTTGTTTACCACTTCACAAATTAGATAGTGCTTTCATAGCACTGATTTTTTTCTGTCTTCTTTTCCTGATGTTTTTCTTTTCCTTTCTTTTCATCCTTCCTTTCTTTTTATGGTTTTGATCCTGCTCTGCCTGCTTCAGTTACTGTCTTTCTCACTTTCTCACAAGGAAACTGAGGCTTCGAGAGGTTAAGCGGTTTCTTCATGGTCACACAGCCAGCAAGAGGCAGGCCATATGCTCAGAGCTTCTGGTTCCACAAGTCAGGACCCTGTGCTCTGTCAGTTTATCTTCCAGTATTGATTCTAGTTATAAAGTTAAACAACTTTAACTGTACTGTTTAATGTTGATATTCTAGTTAAATTCCTCTTATGTAATTTGATTTTTGATCAGATAGTACATGAAAATGGATTTCAGATATACTCCTTACTAATTATTACATAGAAGATGTGGATTTTTCCCACTTAATAAACAGGTAGTGCACTGTTTAATTGTGTAAGAAAAAGTAGGCTATGTCAAAAGAAATTTTAAAATTAGATATCCTATATCTAGTGCTTTAAAAATATGGATCTGGTGAAATGTAATAACAGAGGCCTGTTTATATTTTAACCAGTGCTTGCTACTCTACCTGTGGAGTATAAGTAAAAATTAAGCAGCAAAGAGTTATGAATGAACAGAATAATGGTAGAGTGTTCAACTATACTAAGTCAAGGGCACCCTAATCCACCCTGTCCTGACCACACATGCTCACTTGATGATTATTCATAGGCTTTCAACCTGACGTGTGTGTATGTATGAGTATGTGTGTGTATGGGTGTGTGTGCAGCTTAATTGAGATATAATTGACCTGTAACATTTTGTCAGTTTAAGGTGTACAACGTATTGATTTGATACAGCCCCATGTTGCAATATGATTACCACCATAGTGTTAGCTAATACCACCATCGCTTCGCATAATTATCATTTCTTTTTTGTGGTGAGAACATTTTCTCCACGTCTTGGTCAACACTTGTTACCACTTGTCTTTTTGAAAACAGCCATTATAACAGATTTGAGGTGATATCTCATTATGGGTTTGATTGGCATTTCCCTGATGCTTAGTGATGCTGAGCATCTTCTCATACACATGTTGGTCTTTTAGAGGTCTTCTTTGGAAAAATAGCTATTCAGTTTGTCTGCCCAACTTATTATATTTGAAAGGGAGACTTTCCAGAATTTTTTTTTTTTTTTTTTTTAAGGAGAAATGGAAACAGACCCTATTAGCTCAGCTTAACCTCAGATTGGAAACGGTCCACGGGGACTGCAGAGTGGTAGGGTACTGCCATCTGGTGGTAGCACCTGTGAATTGCAGGATCAGAACGGAAATTCTTTCTTTTTGTTCAGTTCACTTCTGGAGACTGTAGCAGATAGGAGGCACCCTGAATGGATGCAGATGCGTGGCTCTGAGTTTCCTTTTTAATTCTTCCAGAGAGTACAAGGGACTTTATCTATTACAGTACTTTTTAAGTTGTATGTATTCTTAGATAGTATTGGATGCCTTTGCTAAAGCAGCGAGTGCAGCTTACATTTTTTTCTGAATTACAAGCCCAAATTATTGCTTGTGTTTACAGCTGTTATAAACACTTTAGAAAGATGATTTTAAAATCACCATTTTCCCATAACATTAATTTTTATTGTCTTTAACCTCTCACATGGCATAATACAAGACTGTGTATAAGAAGAGGCCTGTGGACATGGGGCATAGAGCTCCAGGTGGAGAAGGGAAGACATGGGGGGGAATGGAGAATGGAGGTGTGGGGGAAACAGGACGTGGCAGTGAAGATGAGGGACAATGGCAAGGGGCGGTGGGAAGTAGGGCAGCAGCCGTGGAAGGCAGGGCTGGGTTTGTAACCGTCCCCTCCCCTCCGGGCATTAGGTCCTTCCTTCAGCCCAAGTCCCCGGGGCACCTGGTTCCTCATTCTGGACCTTTACTGCCCGTCTCTTCCCGGCCTGCTCTCTTTTTTCCTTCATCTAGCCGATACCTCCTTATTCTTTGAAAATTCAGCTGAGCTATCACCCTCCTGGGATGCTTCAAGTTCCATTTGGGTAACTAAAGAAATCTCAAATTTAGGGGGTGCCTGGGTGGCTCAGTCGACTGAGTGTCCGACTCTTGACTTCGGCTCAGGTCATAGTCTCAGGGTCATGAGATCAAGCCCCACATTGGGCTCTGTGCTGGGCATGGAGCCTGCTTAAAATTCTCTCCGTCTGCCACCCCCCCATCCTCAATTGCGCTCTCTCTTAAAAAAGAAAGAAAGAAAGAAATCTCAAACTTAGTATTTTGAAAATTGAACTATCTGTGGTCCTTAAGATGCCCCCTCCCTCCCCCCCGACCTCTCTGCCTCCCATTTCCTCTCCTCCATTCCGTTCAGTCACAAGGTCTCCTTACTGTCCTCAAACCAAGCAAGCATGCAAAGGTGTTCCTGAAAGACACATCACTTAAAACAAGAAAAAGACACGAGAGCAAGTTGATTCCTATATCATACTGACGATTTTTAGTTGAATTTTAAAAATACATATACAGTGTTGAATGCAGTCAGCTTTGAAATGTATGCCTTTTTGTCTTGATTTAAAGATAATATACTAATTAATTGAATTTAAATTAAAAAAATAAAGGCAGTATACTATTTTGCTTAGTTTTATATGCAACACTCTATATTTACTCATAGTTTGGCAAAAGATCCAATTACCAGACTTTTTCAATATGCTAAAAAAAAAAAAAGGTGGTGTCCTCTGACTCTTGTTATAACCTGTGGTACCACAGCATTAAAATCTGCAGCATTTCCTCTACCAGGTTAGTGCTAACACCCTGAATATAGTTATTATTGATTTGAAATTGTCTTGGTCTTTACTCAGGAGTCTGTATGTGCTAGTTTATTTTTTAAGAAATTTTTAAGTGATATGGGAGCAAGCTGAAAAGTCAATATAAAACGTATATAGCAAGAAGCACACTCCTTCCTGCCCGGCATCCACTGTTACCAGATGATACTCTGTCAAGGAGTAGTTCGTAAGCATTGATTTTTTTTTTTTTTTTTTATCTAAAATTATTTTGCACCTGGGTGGCTCAGTCGTTAAGTGTCTGCTTTCGGTTCAGGTCGTGATCCCGGGGCCCTGGGATCAAGCCCCGCATCGGGCTCCCTGCTCAGCGGGGAGTCTGCTTCTCCCTCTCCCACTCCCCCTGCTTGTGTTCCCTCTCTCGCTGTCTCTCTCTCTCTCTCTGTCAAATAAATAAAGTCTTTGAAAAAGAAAAAAAAATTATTTTGCCTATTTTAATGACATTGTAAAAGAAGTGAAAGTGCATGCTGTGAAATGCATACTCATGATAAACTTAAATTGTAAAAATGACTGGCATGGTGGGTCCTTTCTCCGTCTTGACGATGGGGGGAATGGGAAATTGTTACTGAATGATCCAAGTTTATATTTGGGATGATGACGGGGTATTGAAAATAGTGGTGATGGTTGCACAACATTGGGACTGAGTGTAATTTGTGCCTCTGGGTAAACTTACTGAGTAACAGGGCAAACGATATTTTACATATTTTACCAGAACTTAAAAAAAATAATAATGCCACATGCCAAAAATGATTGAATCATATTTTTTGAATGGGTGAATTTTATGCTGTGTGAATTCTGTATCAATAAAGCTGCTTTAAAAATCTTAGCATAGCACCTGGCATATATGGTAAGTACTTCATAAGTGGTCATTGTAGTTGTGATGATTGTCAGTGCTTAGTGAGCATGTCCCTGTGACTCCAGTTGACATTAGAGGAGTGTTTGGTGGCTAAGTAAAAATGTTCATCTCGGCTTTGTCTCTGATGGGTTCTCATTAATTTCCTCACATCTCCTTTCTGCCCCCCAGAGTTATTGATTTAGGAGTCATGACTCCCTGCGACAAGATCTTGAAAGCTGCTCTTGACCACAAAGCAGGTACGGTCCACCTGTGCTTCTGGGCTTTCCACTGGATGTCCTCACCCGCAGGGTGTGTCTGTTGGTAAACGGCGACGCCCCAGCCCGCGTGGGACCAGTGGGGCATTCAGGCAGTTAGGGGCCAGTTCCTGCGTGGGGGGCTTTCACTGTCGTTTATAGTGGGGTTTTGATTGGTGAATAGGTACCGGTGAAACTCCTCCCAGCTCTGAAGATGGGGAATGGGAACAGGATTATTACAGGGTCGTATTAGATTTTTCTCTGTGTACCATCGTTCTTATGTTTCTTGAGACACTGTGACACATCTAAGTCTGGGAAATCCTAAACAGTGTATTTTATTTGCACGGCTTCCCCAGACTGTGGCAACACATTATTGCAACTTGAAGCTACAAATCATGTTTACTACCAGAAGGAAACAAATAAATTGAGACTCCCCAGAAAAGATGTCTTAGAATTAGAAGTTTGGGAATTCATTTGAGGTCTCCTGGTCTTTATTACAAAGGTTTTAAAGTGAGTCTTGCATACTTTTCTGCGTTTTCTCTCATGCTCCTTCTCACTGTCCTTTTTTCTTTTTTGAAATAATAGATATAATTGGCCTATCAGGACTCATCACTCCTTCCCTGGATGAAATGATTTTTGTTGCCAAAGAAATGGAGAGATTGGCTATAAAGATTCCACTGTTGATTGGGGGAGCAACCACATCAAGGTAAGTCATGCTAATGAACTGTTTGCTTTCCTTTAAATTCATCTAAATGCCAGTGTTTAAAAACAGTGATAAAACCTGTGGGTTTTTTTGGGGGGGGCGTTGTTTGTTGGTTTGGTTTTTTATGCACAGTGCATTGGCTCCTTCTGTATAAGCCCATGAGCATTCAGCCTTCCCTTGGACAAGAGCCAGCGTGCTTTTGGAGCATGGTCTAGGAAACCCCTTTGTGATCTCCCTACCCTTTGCCTTTTTTTGGATTCCTTTGGGCTTGTCATTGTCTTTTCCTTAATCCCCTCACCTCCCATTCAGTTCCTGAGATTTCTGATAAACACTCCTCTTGAAATCAGACCAAGTGGAGAGAGGTATATCTTTTGGCGCAAAGACAGTGCTTGAACTTTAGCCCATTCTCTGTCTGGAAGCAGGTGCCTGAGTAATTACAGGTTCCCTTGAAGAAACTCCAGCTTTGTAATAGTTGAGGCAGGAAGCCAAGCTAGCAAGAATGAACCAAAGGATCACCTTGGGAAGTTGTTTTTGAAAGGGGGAACCTTTTGAGAAACTTTCCATTAAGCAATTTAAGGAGAAAGTTATAAGTTGGTCCCATGACATTATTCAGTTTGTCAGATTTTTCCTGGGGTCGCGATCATAATGATATTTGGTGAGAAATATGTTAATTTATGGGTACTCTTAGACTTTTTCTGACATGTTCCTTATGCCCCATGTTATTTACTTTGGCAGGGAATAATGCCCAGGTGGAACATTGAACTTGATGATCCTACTAGCACACAGTTTATTTTTTTTCTGATACAAGAATACAGTAGAGTCCAAAGATATTCCAAAGTTCCTTTCACACTAGAAACAACTGTACATTAAGCCAGTCGTATTAACCAAGTTTTCCAGAGAAACAGAATCAATAGCATGTGTATGTATATATTTACTTTATGTATGTTATATATATTACTCTATATTATATTATTAATATATACTCTATATTGTATATACAGAGGTTTATTTTAAGGAGTTGGCCCATGCCATTTTTGGGTCTGGTAAGACTGAAATCTGCAGGGAAGGTCAGCAGGCTGGAGACCAGGCAGGAGCTGATGTTGCAGTCTTGGTTCCAAAGGCTGTCTGGAGGCAGGATTCCTTCTTCCTTGGGGCACCTTAGTCTCTTCTCTTAAGGTCTTCAACTGATTTGACAAGGCCCACCCACACTAGGAAGAGTAATCTGCTTCACCCAGAGTCTACTGATTTAAATGTTAAATCACATCTAAAAAAAATACCTTCACAGAAACATCTAGATTGGTGTATGACCAAAACCTAGATCCCATGATGTGGCCAAATGGACACATAAAATGAACCATCATCCCATTTATAATCTGAGGCCATCATTTTCACAAGTAGTAACAGTGTTAATGTGTCATTTATTCACTAACTGCTTTTCGTACTTGAAGGACTCCATAATGTGGCCATTGTTGCTCACCTTAGAAAACTGGGTTTGTTTTTCCACCCAGGACTTACCCACTAGGATATGGGGCAGATTATTCTCTAGGGATCTGACCACCCGTCAAGAATTGGGGTTTCAGTGAGCAGGGTCTTGGGTAACTGATGATTTTAATGTGAATATTCATCAGCTTAGTAAAGAGAATGATCAGAATTTATAGACTGTTGTGAGGATGAAATACCTTTTAAGATTACACTTATAAAATAGAATAAATAGATGTGATGTTGATTTCCAAATAAACCATTTTATAAGGCAGGACAGCACACTGAGAAGTTCAACGTCAGGAAACCACGTATTGCTCTTATGCAAATTGGAACATTATAAATGGTCCATTCTGTTACATCTCTTACCAAGTAAGGGCCACCAGATTAAAGAGGATTTTAAAAAAACATTCAGAAGCGACATAACTAGCTTCCCAAGATATACCATATGCAAAATTAGCCACACATGCCTCCTAACAGTTAGAACCTGGCATATCAAGTTAGAAGCAGGTCAGAAGTTACCCACTGTCTCTCCGTGCTCCTGCAAAACTTCTATTCTCTTGGTCTGGGAATCGGTGACGTGATCCTCCCTGAAGGTGGCAATCTGGGTCCTACGACCTCACAAAGTTCCTTCGGATCTCCAGTGCTCTGTTTCTGTATGAGCTCTGCCTTTTTTCATGCTATTCTCTTCATACCTCTTACAGTTTCTGGGAAAATAATTGGAAAATAAAAGCCAGTTGCCAGTTGCATGTTCTCTTCTCCATCGTTCTGCTAGACCAGCCCTTGCAGGATAGATTCCTTAGATTCTAAGAACCTCAGCATAAAACTCCCTGACTCTGACTCCGTTCTAAAGTAGTGACAGTGGGTGAAGCCTCACTCAGTCTTGCTTAATCCAGCCCTCCTCTTTAAGGAAGCCCTTTTCCTGAATTACAATGGTCATACAGAAAAGTACACAAGTCAGAGATCTACAACTCAATGAATTTTTACAAAACTGAACCCCCTACATAAGCACCTCTAGATAAAGAAATAGAACGTTGTCGGCACTCTGGGCGCTTGGCTGGTCCCCCACCTAGTCATCCTTTACAACAAAATGACCACTGTGCTGTCTCGCATCACCGTAGGTTGGGTTTGCCTGCATTTCAGCTTCATAGACGTGGAATCCCGTTGCATGTGTTCTTTTGTGTCCCGCTTATTTTGTGCACCGTTCTGCTTGTGAGGCCCAACCTGGTGGTTATAGTAGTTGTTTTTCCACCGTGGTGTATATAATATTCCATTGTATAATATACTGTGGCTTAGTTATCCAGGCTACAGTTGGTGGACATTGGGTTTTTCCAGTTTGGGGCTATTGGGCAGAATGCTGCTGTGTTCGTATTTCTGCCCTGAAGCAAACTTGCTGGGTCCTGTGCATACGATCATCGGCATTAGATGTTGCTGGGTAGTTTTCCAAAGTGATTGTATTAATTTACACTCCCACCAGCAACTACGAGAGTTCAGTTACTCCACACCCTTTTCAATTTTGTCCATTTCAGTACATATGTAATAGTATCTTGGTATGGTTTTCACTTGCCTTTCTTGCTGACTAGTGATGTTGACTACCTTTTCATGTGTATGTTGACCGTTTGGGTTTGCTAAGTTTTTTTTTTTTTTTAATTGGGTATTCTGCCTTTTTTCTTACCGATTGGTATGTATTCTTTATTTATATTGGATGCAAGCCCTTTCTTAGAAATATATGGCAAATAGATTCTTCCATTATGGCTTGCCTTTTGCTGTCTTAGTTGTATTTTTGGATAACAAAGTTTTTAATCTTCAGGAAGTCTGATTTATCAGTCTCTTCCTTTGTGGTTAGTGCTCTTTGCATCTAAGAATGCCCTCTACTCCTGGGAGAGTCAGCTTTGCTAGAAGACAAGGAGAGTTGGGATGTCTCAGAAGCCCTCCGGGAGCTCTTACTCTTACCTCCTGTAGACCTGTTGAGAGAGCAGCCGTGTTCCATTTTTTGCCTTTGCGAACTGTTATTTGAGCAGATGGCAGCTCAGGATTTCCAAGTTGTCATGAAAGAAGATGAGGGGCTGTACCACGTCCATGGCTTTTCCAGATCTCAGTGGCCCGTGGTGGCATGATGGAATTAGAACCCTACTCCCCGGACACTTGCAGTGAGCCTTACGGCTGACTGATGGATCCCGGGACGAGTTGAAAGGGCTCTACAGACTTGGGGTCATGTGCACATGGAAACATGCCTGGAGTTCCCTTTTTAACCTGTAGCTCCGAGAGGATAGAAACTGAATATTCTTCCGTCCGTAATGCATATTGTTTTGTATCACAAGCTAGAAATGACTTGCATGGAAATCTGGCCCTGTTAGCTGCACAGCTTCTCAAAGGCACAAGTCTGGTAGTTAGCACTCAATTTTTAAATGGTTCAAAACCAATAACTTCACAGTGTCTTTTTCAGTTATTTTTTGGTGAATAGTGGAGAATTCAAAAGGAAGTCACATTGCTTGAAGAGAGAGGTCATTTCCCGAGTTTTTGTTTTTGTTTTTGTTTTTTTTTAAAGATTTTATTTATTTATTTGACAGAGAGAGACACAGTGAGAGAGGGAATACAAGTAGGGGGAGTGGGAGAGGGAGAAGCAGGCTTCCCACTGAGCAGGGAGCCCGATGTGGGGCTCGATCCTGGGACTCCAGGATGATGACCTGAGCCGAAGGCAGATGCTTAATGACTGAGCCACCCAGGCGCCCCATGTTTTTGTTTTTTTTATGAATTGTTAGGAGGTAAGATGCTGAATCGCATAACTAGCATTGTTTTCCTCGTGGCGTTGGCTACGGGGAAGCTTGGAGCTCAGGTGCTAGGGGAGGATTTCACGGACCCGACTTCTGCGTCTGACCCCACTGCTGATTGCCTCCCATCTTCATTTCCCCTGACTCTCATTTTTCTCATCAAATTCTAAGGGTTTTTTTGGTCATGCTGCATTTATGTAAAATGTTTTAATTCTGGAAGGATAAGGCATTAAAAAAAATTCTTGGATTAACTTGTTCTTTTTCAGAGTTTTTAAAAAGACCTTCTGAAATTAACACTGTCCTGCCCGTTGGGCAGCCATGGGGGGCAACTCACTGAATCCCCAGCATTGCTGAGGGACTCAGCAGAGACAGAGCTGAGATTCAGCCTCAGGGCCCAGCCTGTGCTGTTGGTCTGTAGGAAGGGAGGAGAGATTCCAGTGTTTTCCATCTTTTCAGGCTTCGGAAAGAAGTCTGCTTCCCGCTGGAGACAGGATGTGTAAATGGAAGCTTAGAAGAAAGTAGATTCAATGTCATACTATTTTATAAGGAAACCAGAAGTGCTCTTGATGGCTGAGCCAGCTCAAATTTCATGGCTGTGCTCCCTTAGCTTTGTTGTGTGTTTGTGTGTGTGTGTGTGTGCGCGCGCATGCATGCACACGCGCACTGGAAAACAGCACTTTGCTTTTATTTGTTGTTGCTGGTTCTAAATAGTGGAATCCATCCATTTCTTCCCGGTGCCCTTGTCCAGAAGATCATCAATGAGAGAATGGCCAGAATTGTACTGGGAATCCTTGGATGCTTAATGAATATTGATTGTGTTGACTTTAAGATTTAAAACTGCGCTGGTTCCCTTTAAGAGAAGTAGCCAAGTCACATCAGGCCTAATGTTTCCCGGAGGAACTTCATGCAGAATATATATCGAGGGCTATTTTTCCTGGAGGAACTTCATGCAGAATATATATTGAGGGCTATTTGCATGTTCGAAGAGCTGACCACCGGAGGAAGAGGAAGAAAGCGTAGTCTCACATGTTCTCTTGAGAAGCCGGAAGCTGTTTCTTCTTTAAAACTATTCCCACTGTTTGAAAATCTTCTGCCTTGTAGAATACCAGAGATACTTTCAAATTTTTGTGCACACAGTTGGCACCAACAGCACACCCTGGAACGGCCGTGGAGATGTTGGGTCTGACTCCCTCTGCCTCTGTACGCCCCAGCCCCCCGGTCCAGCAGAGCCTCCTGCGTCCAGCACCTTGGGCCTGCACGTCTGTTGTAGAGCTCAGTGCCTGTGACTTTGGGCTTTAGTCCTCTGCTTCCTGTTCATGTGTGGAGGGACCTGTACAAAGGGGACAGGTGAGGGGCACCTGGGTGGCTCAGTCGTTGAGCATCTGCCTTCGGCTCAGGTCATGATCCCAGGGTCCTGGGATCGAGCCCCGCGTCGGGCTCCCTGCTCAGCGGGAAGCCTGCTTCTCCCTCTCCCACTCCCCCTGCTTGTGTTCCCTCTCTCGCTGTGTCTCTCTCTCTGTGTCAAATAAATAAATAAAATCTTAAAAAAAAAAAGGGGGCGGACAGGTGAAATGTCAGGCTCTTGTCTGTCTTCTTGGGAATAAACTTTTAGTCATCCCTGAGAAGCCTATTAAAAACACACTCACCCATATATTGTGCCTTTAATATTCTCCTGGTTGTTAAAAATTACCTCAGTAATCCACGCTTATTATTAGAACATGTCAAACCCTTCAGAGGAATGGAAAGTAAAATTTAGTCTCTCCCTTCCCGCCTTCCATTCCACCTCCAACCTCCCTGTAACCAGGGCTGACATCTGATGTGTGTCTCTCTGTTTTTTTCTAAATACACATACAAGGTTGGCAGGTGAGGGCAGGTTCAGGGTGGTAGTACTTGTTTATTTAAAAAGCAGAATTGTATTAAACAGACTGTTCTGTTACTTTGGTTCTCTCCCCACGTAGTAGCTTATTCTGGACATCTTTACACAGGAAAATGCATGTTAGTTGAGGGGGAAGAATGGGAAAGCATCTGACCCCGGGAAGAGTGCTGCTACCTTAGGGGGACAAGATGGGGCGAGAAAAGACCGGGAAGGGCAGCCCGTCCTGGGGGAGCCACAGTGGCTACCCTTTTAAATGTGCTTGTGGCAAAGTCCACACTTGGGTCCCACCTCCAGGGCCCTGGTGTGACCACTGTCGGGGAGGGTGTGCGACTGGGTCTCACTTTAGCAGCTGCAGAGCCTGTGCCATGAGATTCAGTAATCAGAGGGCAGCTTGCTGCGCACTTCAGCCAATTAGGCCCCTCCAAGGATTAAAGGGTGTTTCTTCCTCACTGCTCCTGTTTCCCAGTCTGGCAGTAGGGGTTTGGGGCTGAATGTTGTTGCCGCTTTTGCCTCTCTGTGTTACTTCGTGTCAAATTTATTCAGGGTCTGAGGTTCCTTACTGCAGGTCCGAGGTGGGCTTTTCGAAGACCACGTCCTGAGCTAGAGTGTGCGTCCCCTGCCTGGTGGTGCGAGCCGACAAATCCATGTCTTCTCCCCTCGGTCTCCCCATCTTGTGGGGTGGGGGAGGGGAGGAAGTCCCCTTGTTTTACAAGGGAAATGTGAAGTTCAATATTTGAAGTACCTTACAATCTTTCCTTGGAAAGCACTCTGTAGAAACACATTATCTCTAATGGTTCCAAACACGTGTCGTGGAGGAACTGTCAGCCCTGATGGATGTGTTTTTCTTCCCGACCCCTCTTTTTAGAACCCACACGGCGGTTAAAATAGCTCCAAGATACAGTGCGCCTGTAATCCACGTCCTGGATGCATCCAAGAGCGTGGTGGTGGTAAGTGTGGGGCCTTACGTTCCTTCAGATATGTCGTAAGGAGAGGAGAAGATGCAGAGTTCAGGGTATTTCCCAAGATCTTCTTTTATTTTTGTCCAAGTCTACTAAAAAAAATGTGGAAAAAGAGCCTACAGCTTGTCACAGTGTCACCGCAGGGGTCTGCACTGCTGGAAGGGGGGGGCCAGGCAAGGTGTCCTGTGCTTTCGAAGACCACGTCCTGAACTAGCAGCGGAACGCTGGTCTGAGTAACAGAGACATGGTACCAAGACACTCGTGACCTTGACGCCAACCCGGAGGGAGAGAGGTTTCAGCCATTTACATGCATTTACAAATATGAATATATACTGTCTTAACTCCAAGCCAGAGCTAAAAGGAATGTGGAATTTTAGAAAATGACCTATGTCCAGATAAAAAGACCCTTAACCTGGAATGGGCCAGTTGACCCTACCCAAAGAGAGAAAAACATTCTCTAGATGTTCAAAACCCAGAATAATAGATGCTTTTTCTCAATGAATGTAGTAAACAACATACCTGAGTGTGTTTTTATGCTTCTGTCCATCAGTGAAGCCCAGTATCCTCTCTTACTGTTACGTGTTTCATTTGTTTCATTGTATAATAGGAAATAATAGCTGGAGAGAATCTGAGGGACCGTGTGGTCCTGTGGTTTCCAGGTTTGTTTTAGCCACAGAAACCTTGTCTGCGAGTACAGCCAGCATGGATAAGAGTGGCCCCTTCCATCCTTCATCCCGCACCTAGTTCTCAAAAGAGCACAATTTTAGAAACCGCTAATGTAGCGCAGACTTCTGATGTGCGGGCGAGGAGAGTTACCGAGGGGCTCTGATGATTCGTGAGACTGCCCAGTGACATCACGTGGCCTGAACTCGGGTGACCACATGTCCTAAGCCATTTTCCAAAGGCATCCTTCCAGATCTGTGAATTCATTTATATTGAAGTTGAACAATAATGGCTAACATTACTGGAAATTGATAGGGTGCCAGACACTGTGCTAAGTGCTTTCCGTGGATTTTTTTTTTTAAAACCCCGTGAAGCAGATACTTTCATTATCCCCATTTGAGAGATGAGGACACAGGAATGGAGAGGTTAGTACCCCTCTTGAAGCCACAGGTCCGTCAAGCGGCAGGTGTGGGGTGTGAAGGCAGGTGGTCTTAACTCTATGCCTCTGTTAAACTTGCTTCCATTAATATTTAAATGATCCTCCTTTATTCAAAAGGATACAATTAAATCAGACTGGGATCATAAAGTTGCAGTTTTTTATTTGCCATTGCTGTAGACTAATGTGTAAATAAACTACATTTCTATAATTTCAGGACAGTTTTTTGTATCTTATATTTGGATTGTGCTTCATATATCGAGCTTACATTGAGTTCACGGTTGAGTAACCATTGGGCCTCTTTTTAAGGCTTGTTGCTATTTTCAAATGCTAATGAATGACTGAACATTTCCCATTTGGAGACCAGGCTGTTGTCCCTCTTTAAGTCCACAGTGGTAGCGTTGCCCCCACAGGTAGGGGGACGACTCTGGTGGGGGGGAAGGAACCGGCCTCTGGGTTCTATTTTGAGGGCACTCCATCACCGTCTTGAAGAGCTAATGCAGCAGGGGCTGAGCTGAAAGCCCAGAGATGAGGCGTGGGCACTGGTGCTCTTTCCGGTCAGTCCGGCTGGACAGCTGGCAGTGGTTAGCGCTTCTCAGATTCAAAGAGATGGCTCCCTTCTGAAATTACTCAGACATAAGTGCAACGATAAGTCATTTGGGTCATTGCTGGTGACACTTTTCAGGAGTCAGTGGTAGAATTCATTTAGGCTGATTGTCGGTTCAGAGTCTTTTGATCGGACTGCACTGAGTGTGGTCCAGGCCCATGCTCTGGACCACTGGCTCCAGCATCTGAAAGATTCCGAAATGTGGCAACTACAGGATCGTTGGAGCTTTAGACCTCAGGATGCCCCTGCTGTCTTTCCTTTCTTTTTAAATAAAAAACGAGGTGCCGATATTTAGTTCTTTCTAAATGATAAACTGTATTTTCAACTTCTCCCCTCTCACTGTGCTGTTGCTGTTACGAAAATTGAAAAATAAAAGCATAAAACGTGTGAATGGTTGGCCTGAAAACCCATGACGAGCTCGGATTTGTGGTGGAAAGATCACAAAGATCAGCCCATATAATGGGCCATGAGCAAGTCAGACTGGGCAGGGAGGGGCTCGTCACTCTGGCTCTGGGAGCTGGGGCCCCCAGGGTGTGGACAGTGCCAGCAAACTGGTGTGCTCTGTCTACCCAATGGGAGCCATGTCAGAGTCCTGTTAAAAGTCCTTTGGATGTTTAGAAAAATTAGGGTTTTGCTTTCTCAGGGTCTAAAATCTCACAGAATGCAGGATTTTAAACAATATTTTAAACAATATTTAAAAACACCGATTCCACGTACATTGGCAGGCTCAAGAGCAGGTATCCCCTTCCTTTCTCCATTTAGCTCTGCTGGCTTTCCTAAGCGAGGACCCCATTGAGTTAAGGTGGATGAAAGGCTGGGAGGTACTTTGTGGTGTGAATACCATTCAGGAGTCTATTGTCAGGCTTGTCACAGTGGTCTTTTCTGATTAGGTTCCTTAAAGTGATTTGGCTTTATACTAACTCTTAGGGGATTGGATTGCTGTTAGAGATACTTAGAAAATTCACGTAGAATTAAAGGCATTTCAAGCCGGTGGGCACCTCAGCCATCGTCCAGCCTAACTTGGTCAGTTTCACATAATGATACTGACCTTCCAGGCCCTTGTGTTGGAAGATCCAGCTGGAGGCTGAGAGATGAGATGGGGCAGTGCAGGGTTTTGAGCTGATGGTGATCAGCAGCCATTTCCTCTTTCTGGATGATTGTATTTTGAGCTTTGGTGGTGGCTATTCTCCCATCACCTTGATAATCCCAGTCATAAACAATATTTAGCTGATCCTAGTTTTACAGTTGACTGAGTCGCCTCACATTTCTCAGATGATGGGTTTCCTTTCTTTCCTTAGCACAAGCTCGTAGTTGACCTTGAAGATCAGCCTCATTCCTTCAGCAGACATTTAGTGAGGAGGCATCTTGTACGTGCCAGGCACAGAGCTAGAAACTGGGGACACGAAGGCGGTTAAGGTGCAGTCCTGCCCTCCAAGGGCTTGTCCTCTAGTGAGCCAAGTGGATACACAGATACTAAAAGCCTGTGGGAAATGCAATAAGGGAGAGATGCACCAAGTACCTTTGAAACATAGAAGATCGGTACCTGACCAGTGTGTTGTGTGGGTCCCCGGGACCACCCTCAGTTTCAGTGATTTGCTAGAAGGACTCACAGAACTCAGAAACACCATTATACTCACAATTACGCCGTATTGCAGTGAAAGAATGCAGATTAAAATCAGCAGAGGCAAAAGATACAAAAGGTGGAATCCAAGAAAGGCCAGGTACCAGCTTCCAGGTGTCCTCCCCGGTGGAATCCTACAGACAGTGTTTAATCCTTCCGAGAGTGAGGCGGGACACCACAGGCGGCGCATTGCCAACCAGGGAAGCTCAGCTAAGCCTTGGTATCTGGGGCTTCTCCTGGGAATCAGTTCCATGGGAATGGAATGCTTTAAGTACCTGACTGGCCTTAGTTACTCCAGAGTCAGACAGACACAACATAAGCCAGGTCTCCCCGCAAATCACATTGTTAGCGTAAACTATGCGGGGTGGCCCAGGGCTCCAGGTGGACGAAGACTTATCAGGCAGGATATCGCAAGGACTTAGAGCTTATCTCTCAGGAGCCATCAAGAGCCAGGCGTTTCTCTGGAATGTGTGAGAGTTGGACATCCTAGGTCTACTGAGGTAGCCCTCAGCTGCACACCCTGGCAGGAATTAGCGAAGCTGGCGAAGGGAGAGGGAATGACGTGAACGAGGGAAAGCTCCCTGAAGGAGGCATCACCAGAACTGACCAGTGTTGCTCCTGTTTCGTTTGTCTCCTTTTGCTCCTCTGTGGTTCTTGAACTTCGATCTTGCATGTTCAGTGCTCGCAACTATTAGATGAGAATCTAAAGGATGAATATTTTGAGGAGATCATGGAAGAATATGAAGATATTAGACAGGACCATTACGAGTCTCTCAAGGTAAGTGACAAAAACAGGTCCCTGCTGGTTAGGCATTAAAACGATCCTGCATTTTTGAATGTGACTTTATTGTTTTAAGGAGGGCAAAGGTTTAGGATCATTTTAGAGAAGCCCTGTTTTCTAGTTCAAATCAGAATTCTCTGGTGTCTGAGTTCCCAGTAATTTGGGGTTATACTAAAATTAATTTCATTTATTCCACCAAACATTTATTGGGTACACTGTAGGTGTTAGGTGCTGTGCCCGAGAGCAGAGTTATGAGAACAAATGAAACATACCCAGCAGCAGAACAGGAACTGAAACGGTGTGTGGACATGACTCCCCCGGATCCTTGTTCTTGAAATAATGGAAGAAAATGAAGACCATCAGACAGGACCATTGCAGCCTCTCTCCCTCCTGCCCAGCGCAGGCTGCAGAGCAGTGTTAAAGGAACTGTCCCTCTCTACATAAGCTTCAGGGAATCCTTGGGCAGCAGACGTAATCACTCGTTAGAAGTCACCGGGATATTTCTTCCTGGTTCATCTGCCTGTTGGACTTTGTCCATGGTGGGGGGCACTTTGGGGGTGGTTAGGCGAGTGAAAGGAGATGACAAACGGCGTGGAGAGAAAAGGTGTTTCTGAGGTGTTGACTAGCCAAAAATTCTGTGGTTGGCTTTCCGCCTCTCCTCAGGTCTGCCCACAGTTGACAGTTTCCTAGCTCTGCCTTCTGGTCCTAGGGCCGGTCGATGGCAGGCCGGTTAGCCCTGGCCTTGGATGTTCTAAAAGGACAGGCGGGATGCCGCTCCGTTGCTGGGCTTACTGCAAGGTTGAGGGATCTACATAGCAACATTTAATGCGTATTTACTGAATCTTTACTCTCCATTGTTCTGGTGCTAACATGGAGCCATATTGGGTGGAAAAGGAAGAGCTTCTTAGGATATGAATTTTCATTAATAAAAGCATTTGTGTTTGTTTTGTTTTGTTTTTACACAACTCATGTACTAGCTTTGGGGACATACTTCCATAGTAGCAGCTGGAGAGAGAAGAGTCTCCAACTAAAATAACTTTTCTTTTGTTCATAGGAGAGAAGATACTTAACCTTAAGTCAAGCTAGAAAAAACGGTTTCCGTATTGACTGGCTGTCGGAGCCCCCTCCAGGTCTGTCTGGCTATGGGTTAGAGAAAGGCTGTGTGTGATAGTGAGAGTTGGAGAGGTGTTTGCATGTACTTGGCTACAGAATCAAATGGGCAGCTAGAGAGAGACTCTTACTTGTGTCTAATAATAGTGATGAAGCACAGTGATGATTGAAAAGGAAAGGAAATAGGTACCATTTACGGAGGACCAGACTGACTGCACTTTGTAGTGAATGTGCTGTTGTCCCCACTCACATGTGAAGACCCTGAATTTCGGGTGAGAACACGAAAGGTTACTGGGATTCGCTGTCTGGTCTGTCTTCTGACCCCACACTCTTTCCTCTCTGTGGGGCTTGAGGGGCCCCCCGCAGGTTGACATAAGTTCTGGAGACCTGCCTGGGTCGCGGGGCAGGCCCAAGTCTAGTAGACATGGAGTGCCTGAGATTGAAGATGCCCTCACCCTGAACAGACCTTTAGAACATTCCAGCAAAGCAAGAGCTCCTATTTCCTGTTCACTCTTTCCCGTGCTCTCTCTGAATGCTTCCTTCTATTTTTTTTTTCTTCTTTTTTTTCCTTATTTCCAGCCATCTCTCTTGCCTTATGGAGGTGTTCATAAGGGAATAAAATATGGAAGATGTTTTGACATGCTTAGAAGGGCATGAGGTACAAATGCAGAACTGAGACAGGGTGAACAGGGGTTGTATTACTTGAATCCGTATTTCCAAGGTAATGCCTCAAATCCACTCTCCTGGCTCACAACATCAGTGTTATGCATATGATCGGCAGAGTGGAGAGCATTAAATTGGAAATGTAGGTGTACTTGGTTCTACTTTCAGTCCTGCTGTGTTCAGTGTGGGTGAGTAGGAGGAATCCCACATTGGAAGTCAGGAGGTCCGGGTTCTACTCCCAGTTTGGTTCCTTGCTCCGAATCACTGAATGACCTTGAGCATCTCACTTCCGTGGTTGACAGTTTCTAATGTGTAAAAAGGAGTTACCCTATGGAAGATTGTGAGGATAAAAGATCAACTTCTGAAAAATGTAAATCACTGGATAGTCCAACTGCTATTTTCCCTTTACCTTTCACTATGAAATTAGAAAAACATCACAAGAAAAGTTCCATTTTATTTATTTTTTATTTTTTATTTTTTTTAAAGATTTTATTTATTCATTTGACAGAAACACAGCGAGAGAGGGAACACAAGCAGAGAGAGTAGGAGAGGGAGAAGCAGGCTCCCCGCTGAGCAGGGAGCCCGATGTGGGGCTCGATCCCAGGACCCTGGGATCACGACCTGAGCCGAAGGCAGACGCTTAACGACTGAGCCACCCAGGCGCCCCGAAAAGTTCCATTTTAGCCCAAATATCCAGCATGATTCAGCGGAGACAGTCCTCTGAAGGCAGCAGTGGGGATACTTTTCGAATGGCCCTCTCTCCCCAGGGCGGGGCTGCTGTGGGGCTCTGTACCTGCTACTTCAGAAGGGCTGAGGCCCTGAGGTATAGCCCGCAGAGAAGTTTCTGAGGACAGCCCAGTCTTCCAGTAGTCACAGGAAGTCACCAAAGGGAAAAAGAAAAGCTCTTCTCTCAAGGTCCTTGGTGGTGAAATCCCAGAATAGCATCCTTCAGTGACTACAAGGCAAGAGGGAGCTTTCATCCAGAGGAATTCTAGTTTCTTCTTAATGGTCAAACACAGCAACACAATTTAATGTTATGAAGAAGAGATTGTTCTGAATAGTAAAAAGATGACAAGCAACAAATGAGAAAAGCTACTGTTAGCATGTATGAAAAGATAGAGATTTCCAGGCAGAAGTAAGCAGCGCCTACTCTCCCTGTACTTTTCTCTCTCTCATGTCTACCTCTGACTATCAGGTGACACAAAAATACTCTGGAGGCTCTGGTGTTATCCCACAGCACCTGAGATGAGTAGGAGAGTGTAAGTTCTCTGATCCCTGTTTACAGAGCAGGGAACTGAGGACACGGAGGCCAGGAAGCTGGTGGGGTGGTCATGGCATCTGACCCTGGCCCAACCCTGCTGCAGGCTTGGGGGGGGCAAGGTGCAGTAACGTCACTCCTGGTATCCCAGAGGGCCCCAGGGCACCATCTGTCTCCAAATTCTTTTGTCATTAATTCACTTATCTATTTTAGACTCGCAGGGAAGTGTAAAGAACAATATGTTGGGGCGCCTGGGTGGCTCAGTTGGTTAAGCGACTGCTTTCGGCTCAGGTCATGATCCTGGAGTCCCAGGATCGAGTCCCACATCGGGCTCCCTGCTCAGCGGGGAGTCTGCTTCTCCCTCTGACCCTCTTTCCTCTCGTGCTCTCTCTCTCTCATTCTCTCTCTCTCATAAATAAAATGTTAAAAAAAAAAAGAACAGTATGTTGAACACCCATGTATACCTGCTAGCCACCTAAGAAATAACCCCTGGTGTAAGGGCACCTGGGTGTCTCGGTCGGTTAAGCGTCTGCCTTCGGCTCAGGTCATGATGCTAGGGTCCTGGGATCGAGTCTCGTGTTGGGCTCCCCACTTAGCGGGGAGTCTGCTTCTCCCTCTGCCTGTCGCCCCCCTGCTTATGCTCTCTCTCTCTCTCTGACAAATAAAATCTTTTAGAAAAAAAAAAAAGAACCTGGTGCCCATTTAAAAAAAAAAAACAAAAACAAAGCAGCACATACATAGTGGAAGTCGCCCTAGCGCCCCTCCCTCCCCTGCAGGATCCTGAATTTGATGCCTTGTTTCCGTGCATTTCCTTATATTTTGCCGGCGTTCGTATATAGCAGTGGGCGGTAGAGATGATTGATTCATGTTTCTAACGTTTTTCTAAGTGGCTTACTGCGTGTGCCTTTCTACAGTGGCATTTATTGTAGTATTGTCTTCATTTGTGCAAGTGAAGAGAAACCCAAGTCTCTTCTCTTGGACTGAAGGGCTGAGGGAAGAATTTCCAAGGGCGGTGTAGACAGTCAGCCCCTCAGGAAGAGTGATTTGATTTAAGATTCACTGCGGAGTTACTCCTCCTCCGTGATCATTTAAAGTTCCGCCCTTTGTAAAACAAGTCCAACAGGCAACAGGAGGGAGGGAGGGGGGAGCCCCAGAGCAGGGAAGAGCCAGCCAGGAGTATCTGGTGCAGGCGGCTCAGCCCCAGGCCCTGGCATTGGCCTTGACATCCGGGCTTCTTTTTACAGTGAAGCCGACGTTTCTTGGGACTCGGGTCTTCGAAGACTATGACCTGCGGAAGCTGGTGGCCTACATTGACTGGAAGCCTTTCTTCGATGTCTGGCAGCTCCGGGGCAAGTACCCGAATCGAAGCTTTCCCAAGATATTTAAGGACAAAACTGTAGGTTAGTTCAGTAAGCCCTTCTTCCTTTCTGCTCTGCTGTTCGAGACATAGTGTTCGGACTTTGAAGAGGAGAAAGGGCAGAGGGTTTGGATTCTGTCGGATATAGTTTATTGCTATAATTATTCACCTGTTCAGCTCTTCTGGGGTTTTAAACTGCTAGATCGGTCCTTATTTATGGGATAATTGGGCATTTTGTTGATCTGTTCTTTGATAAATGCTTATTGATGTCAGTTACGAGGCAGGCTCTGTGTCGGGCACCGGGGATAAACAGAAGGTAACGGGGGTAACCCCTGCCCTTCAGTGCAGGACTCACAGCTGGTGCGGCCGCCAACGATGGGCAGTTCCTGCGCGGCCCGCCAAGCTCCTGCCTTGGGGCTGAGTCCAGGGCGTTTGTGAACACACGATGATGAGGCAGACCTGGGGGAGGTGGTATGTGAAGTACTTTTTGAAGATGAAGTGGGAGGGACTGGGACTGGGGATATGAGATGTTCCTGGAGAAAAGGATGTCCCCGGCAGAGGAGACAGGTTGGGAAGGCACAGTCACATGTGCCCATTGGGGGAAATGCCAGGAGCCCACTGTGCCTGGATCACTGGTAGGGGGAGGGAGTGAGAAGCTGGAGACGTGGGTGGGCTGGTAAACTGCTGGCCCCACTTCTCAGGCCCAGCCCCACCCCCAGAATCTGCCCCCAGAGGCATGGGATCACTATGCCAAGCCGCTAGAGGATTAGGAGAGAGCCAGAGGAGAGCAAGGTGGAGGGGTGTTCTGCTAGGAGGTTGGGGTGAGGGTCAAGGGGAGCCAGGTGCCCGTCGTGCAGGGACAACCACCCAAGTGCAGCACTGGAGCCCCTGCAGAGGGGCTGGGCCCACACTTCCCTCCTCCACCTGGTCCACAGCCCCAGAGGCCACTGTGAGGTCACTGGAGTGATGGGTGCATGTGGAAGGTTGGTGATGGAAGGATCTGGCTGGCTCCGTTTCACTCGCTGTCTGAGACTGCGTTGGGGAGCCCCAGATTGGGCTCTCTCTGCCTCTTACTGAACAGAGGCATTCAGGGGCCCTGCAGTCAGCCCAAACCGCTAACCCTCAGCCGCTGACAGGCACCAGTGAAGTATTTGGGGGGATAGAGGGGGGATGGGAGAGGCTGGCTGAGGAGGGGGAGTGGCTTTAAAAAGAAGTATTTGTTGCTGGTTATCATTGGCATTTTTAAGTGAATTCTGACTATGTTTTCCTAATAGGCGAAGAGGCCAAAAAGGTCTATGACGATGCCCAGGACATGCTGGAAGTGCTGATCAGTGAGAAGAAGCTCCAAGCCAGGGGCGTGGTGGGGTTCTGGCCGGCGCAGAGCGTGGAGGACGACATCCACCTGTACGCGGAGGACGCTGCGCCACCGGCCGCGGAGCCCATAGCCACCTTCCACGGGCTAAGGCAGCAGGTACAGGGGCCGCGGTGCTGGAAAAATCATAAATAGGAATTAAGCAAGCCTGGGCTGTGTATACATGATAGGTCTGCCCACCTCACCCCAAATAATGACCACTCATAGGCCCGAGGCCAAGGCATTTGGGAGGACGGTGGACAGAAGGAGCCCGTGTGGGTTGAGAGGCTGGCCCTTTGGCCCCAGCAGGAGAGGGGTGTCAGATGTGGTGTTGGACAGGCCGCCGGGACACGCTATTGCCACCTCAGTGGTCACACACACACGGACATTTCCTTGATCAAAAACATCGGTTTGTGTGCATGCATATTTTTAAAACAGGCCAGTGGCTCCCTTTCTCAAGGGGAAGACACGTCTGTGACGTGCCAGGTGCTTAGTTGGGTGCTGGATGGACCGTCTTCATTCATTTCCGCGCCGCCTTGTAGACAGTTTATGTTTCCATTCTACGGGGGGAGGGGGATGAAGGCCGATGGAGATGGTGCCAAGTCCAGAGCTTTAGAGGGGAGAGCCCACCTCGTCCACACCCGGTGGCTTCTCTCAGTGTGGTGAGAACTGGCATTTCTCAACATGGTTGCCTCTCCTGTGTCCCCACCCGGAAGAATGCAGATACCTCGTGCGTGTCCCTGTGGCTGCGATGAAAGAGTTGTCCTCATCCAGAGTTGGAGCCAGAACTCACCAGAGCCATTAACAGAGGGTTGCAGTAAATCATCCTGCAAAGTTTCACTACCATTGCCAGTCATTCAGAAGTGATAGTATTGCTTTTAATCATAGCCACCACGTAATTCATAATGACAGCTAGTTTCACTGTAACAGCATCTGAAGGGATTCTTAAACTTGCGACATTGATACCGTAATAAGATCGGGGAGGGCAGCTACATCACTCCTGTCTGCACCCAGGCTCTGACACCACAGAACAGAAGGCCGCCGGCTGTAATGTTACGGTCCCGCCCCTCCTCACTAGCCAACTGGTGACTTTTCTTCTGCAGGTGTAATTCGGGTCACAAACCTCTGCCCTGGCCTGGTGTTTATGTCCAACACCATTCGTGACCCGGCAGGCTGTGGCAGACCGTGTTAGGGCATTTAACAGCAGGACTTCTCGATGTGCATGTATGACGCATTCAGATAGCTCTTGCTGAGGAGGGGCTCTCTTCCAGTGCTCCGGAAGATGATTCTGGCTGCAGCCACTTACTGCTCTGGGAGGCTTCTGTCTCAGACTGTAGTGGCTGTCTCTTCTGAGCTGTGAAGGGGCTCCATGACCTGTCTGTCCTTGTGGTGCTGGGAAGCTCTGTGTCTCCCTCTGGCTTTTGTTAGTGAAGAATGGTTGATGGACAGAGTACATCATTTGATAATGGCCCCCGCATAGTGGTCCCTGTGCTCTGTGACATTTCCGCAGGCCATTACCAAACACCTTCTGGCCATTTAACCGTTTCCTGCCCAGTGTTGGTTAGGCTGTGCTTGTTTCCAGAGCCGGCAAGCAAATAATAGCTCTGAAGCCTCTGGTGTGCTGCTCACCGATTAATTGATCAGTCTTATGTGCCGTACGGCGGTCAAGAGTGTGGGTTATGGTATCAGACCCCTGGACCTACTACCGTCTGACGCTGGGCTTGCTGATCAAGCTCTGTCTGCCTCAGGTTTCCTGTCTGTGAAATGGGGCTGATGGTATCACTTCCTTACTTGACACGGTTGTTGACAGCGTGAAATTAGCGAGTTCCTGTACAGCAGCAAGAGTAGTGCCTGAAGTACAGTAAGCACTCAGTAAATACTAGTTACTAGCTCTTTACCTTCTGGGCAAGTGTTTGTTGATTGCGAGATATGTATACGACCTTATTTGTCCGCTTGGTGGCAGGGGGGAGTCCATCACCATTTGGGCATGAGAAATGGGCAAATACGGGCACCTGTCCTTGAGGAGAGACGCCCGAAGCTGGGCTGCTGAATTCTGGGTTTGGTGTCAGGCTGGCCCAGGGGTGGCCTTGCGGTCTCCTGAGCCACCACTGTGGTGGGCAGCATGGGGCCCTGGGTTGCTGACCAGAAGTTTGCTGAACTGTGTCTGTTGATGCTAAGTAGAGGCTTAGGCATTTGTGGATCCCTTTTGGATGTAACTTCTGGATTTAATGTTGATCTTGAATTGAAAACACTTTTGGGGGAAATTTCTTTTATATGAAGGTTTAGGGTTCCAGTTCCCAGCACAGTGCCTGGAGGCATACAGTAAATGTGGGAAGGAGCAAATTCAGTGGTTTCTTGACTGTCTGTCATGTCACATCATGTATTTTTTTAGAATCTTCTTTCACTTGTTGATTCCACAAATATTTATCGAATACTCGCTACATATCAGGCTCTCTTCTAAGTACTGGGGATGTAACAGGGAACAAAACAGACATCGCTGTGTGAAGCTGAGATCCGTCTGAAGAGACGAGATTGCTGTTGCGTGTCGCTCCCACATCCGTGCTGATGGTCCGTCTGTCCGTCTGTTGGGTTTGAAGGCCGAGAAGGACCCTGCCAGCGCGGACCCATACCAGTGCCTCTCGGACTTCATTGCTCCGCTGCATTCCGGCGTCCGCGACTACCTGGGTCTGTTTGCCGTCGCCTGCTTCGGGGTGGAGGAGCTGAGCAAGGCCTATGAGCAGGAGTGTGACGACTATAGCAGCATCATGGTCAAGGCTCTGGGAGACCGGCTGGCTGAGGTAGAGCGGTGGCGCTGGGGACAGACCGGGTGGGGAGCGCATGACGGTGCCAGGCACTAAGCAGCCCTTTTAGCATCCGTGTCCTGCCGTTTTGTTTTTACCGAGTCAGATGAGGCTGGCCTTAGCATCACACGCAATTTTAAAAATCAGCCCTTCTCGAATGGCTCTGATACATCATCTTTTGGGCAAAGGAATGCCTCCAGCGATGCCGTAGTTGGTAGCTGTCCTTAGAACCGCGACCTCTTGGCTGTAGTTCTGATGTCTCCCTTTGCTTGTTGTGTGACGTTTTCCTGAGGAGCCTGAAAAATTCAGGACAGATTTCTGCGCCAGGGCTCCTCGTTCTCGTGTTGTGATCCTCTGTAGATTCATCTTCCTGTGTGTGGCCGGAGTCCCCTCTGCTTCCCCTGAGGCTGGCAGGGGAGGAACTGGCAGCTGGAGTGGTCCCCGCTTCTCCTCGCGGCCACTGTCAGGGAAATGTTTCAGTTCAAGGCCCTCGAATCCTCAGATCACTGAAGAGGATACGTCAGAGCCCAGGCTGAGGCCAAAACTGGGCAGAGAGCAGCTGATGACGCGACAAGCGAGCTGAGAATCCAATCGGCCCCTCTTGGCCAGTTCCTCCTGCCTGTGGTGCAGGCGAGGGCGGGGCTTGCCCCGGTCGGCTTTGATGGCGGGGGCGGGGTGGTGGGGGGCGCCGGTGCAGGGGGCTCCTGCCTCTGCCCACACGCACGCCTCGCTCCCGGCTGCAGGCCTTTGCGGAGGAGCTCCACGAGCGGGTCCGCAGGGAGCTGTGGGCCTACTGCAGGTGCGAAGAGCTGGACGTCGCCGACCTGCGGCGGCTGCGCTACGAGGGCATCCGGCCGGCGCCCGGCTACCCCAGCCAGCCCGACCACAGCGAGAAGCTCACCATGTGGAAGCTCGCCGACGTGGAGCGGTGCACAGGTGCGTGCGGGGAGCGGGGGGCGCCCTCCTTCTCCGTGCGGGTCATGGGCCTGCTCCGGCCACATACAGCAGTGCACACGTGGCCACCCGTGTCAACACGGGGGAAGGCTCAGAATGAACCCCCCTTCCTCCTGTCTAGCTCTTGATCTCACTGTTTTACGTTCACATTATTGAATAGTTGTCTCACACCCCCCACTTTTAGATGGATCAATTCCCATTACTTTATCTTAGGCTGTAATGGATGAGAATTTAGCTTATCATAGCGCCCACCCATCTCCCGCCCTGATTTCCTGCTACAGGGCTGTCCCTGCTTCTAATCTCACCATTAGCAGCCTTCAGAGCCTTCAGTGACGTAGTTCCCATCAGCTCCTCCTCCCTCCGCTCACAGACCGAGTCTCTGGACACTGCCCCCGCCTCTCAGCTTTTCCCCTTTATTATCACAACTAACAGTGTCAGTGGAATGAATCAGAAGCGTGCCATCAGTGCCGATCAGGTGAAGGGGACTTGGGTTCAGGTGAGGGACTGAGGCTTTTGGACGTACATTGGCAGGAATGGTGTGGACTCCCGGAACCGTAAGATACAGTTCGAGTCCTTCCCTGCCGTGAGCTACCTGGTGATCTCCAGCAAAGTGTTGAAGCTTTGTGTTGCTCTGTTCCTTGTCCATAAGATGAGAGGCTTAGATGGGGCAGCCCGGTGCTCCCTCTGCATCCTGTGGGCTCATTCTCAGGGCCCAACTGTTGGTCATCCCAAGGGGCAGGAGCCTGGGGGTCCAGATGGTGCCTTCCTCCCAGGGCTGGCGCTCCTTCTCTGAGAGGCCCAGGTATAGGACCAAGTGGAGGCCTCTGTCCCTGAGATTGGAGGACTGGCAGGGGGCGGGGGGGTACAGACGGTCTTTGCAAGGTCTGTCCCCCTGGGTTAGAGGAGATCGGCCTGAATTTCAGGCTGTGTCATGTGTCCACCCAGAAGGCGTGAGCTCACTTTCATTCACCTGTTCGTTCCTAAACAAGAGCTTATTGGGTGCTGCCAACCGCCAGGCCCTATGCTAGTCACTGGAGAAATCAGCATTTTCTCCCCCCCACCCCCACCCCCCGCCCCCGTGTTGCTCTCTGCAGGCATTAGGTTAACGGAATCCCTAGCAATGGCACCTGCTTCAGCAGTATCCGGCCTTTACTTCTCCAATTTGAAGTCCAAATACTTTGCAGTGGGGAAAATTTCCAAGGATCAGGTAAGTTAGCCGTTTCTTTGTGTATGGCTTCCCTAGATGCCTGTCTTGTCTTAAATGGAACTGAAGAACCTGTTTTATTTTACATGTGAATGAGAATAAAAAGGGAGGGAAAGCATGATGAAAGTTACCCCCAGTTAATGTCTTAATTTGATAGCAGCTCGTTACCCCGATGCTCGCCCTCCCATTTGCACACCTACAGCCCCAGCACTCAACACACTGCAGCCAGCATCTCGGCACCAGAAACTTACTGCGTGTTGTTTCCTGCCCAGAGAATAAGGCGACTTGGTGAACAGATAAATATCCATCTCCATCTAACTCAGTAGATTGCTATTACGACAAGAAATGGAAGGCATTTCGGGTTTCCTAGCAAATCCTATGGAAACTTCACTTCAGAAAGTCTTATCATTTTGGTTTGATGTGCCGCTTCTAATCTTTTGCAGATTGAGGATTATGCTCTGCGGAAGAACATGTCTGTGGCTGAGGTTGAGAAATGGCTGGGACCCATTTTGGGATACGACACAGAGTAACTTGTTTATTTATTTATTTTTAAAATCCTTTTCTCTGCTTGAGGATCCTCAAGGAAATAGAGTCCAGAGTGCCTTTAAAATGAACAGCAGTAGTAGCAACATATAAGCCCGGCTGCCTCACTCTGCTCCAGGCTTTGGAAGACTGTTTGGTGGAACCTTGTAGAGGAGCAGGGCCTTCCTGTGTCCTTGGGAAGCAAGCGAGCTCCTTTCCGGGGGACCTTGAACGAAGAGCAGCAAGCACAGCACTGGTGGTTTTCCTGGTCCCCCCGGACCGGACAAGCTGGAGTTAGAGGTCTTCCGCATTTCAAAGCAAGTCAACTTGCTTTTTTTTTTTTTTCCCCCCATTTTTACCTTGCCTCTAGGAGGCCACTTACTATTTTTTTTTTTCTCTTGCTCTCTTAGAAAAAGGCCTGAGACTTAGCTGAGTAGAGAAATGTATAGAAAAACGTGACCCCATGGCAAAATCACCCTGTGCGAAATGGGGCATTTTAATCTAAAACGGTTGCAACAGCACTCTGACAGGGAAGAAAGTACAACTCTGCTCTCGCTCTGGAAGACCTCATTTTCATTTTCTGAAGTCCTGATTACATGCGTGCGGAAGTCCCTTTGGCAGAAGGCCCGTTCTCACCGCTGACTGCTCAGAGATGCTCAGGCTGTTTGCCCTAGGGTGGTCAGACACAGGGGTGTTCTCCTAGCATTTCTGTCCTCTTCTAGTTTCATATTCTCTGCCCTGAGGGCGAAGAAGGAGGTGGGGCGAGGAAGTGACTGTTCTGGGTAGTTAGCATCTTGTCACTGTTTTCTGGAGTTGAGTAGGCTCTCGGCTGAGCCGCTGTGTCCTGTGCAGAGTTGGACAGACGAGCAGTGAGATTGCACTCAATTCCCCCATTTCTGTGCCAACCCGACTGCAGACTCCTGCAGTGTAGGACAGCACACTGATGTGTTCTCAGCTATTTTGGGGGAAATGGCTAAGAACATGGACTTTGACATCAGACATACCTGGATTCACATTTCACCTTTGCCACTCGCTGTGCAATGCGGGCAAATTGCTTCCACTCTCCAACACTATCTTCTCATCTGTACAATGGGGACACCAGTTCCTCTGTCATGGGCCTGAGGGGCCGATAAGTGAGGTGACACACATAGGTCACATAGCAGGGGATCTGACACACAGTAGCTTCTGTAGAGCTCAATGGGTAGCGCCTCCAGCTCAGCACATGGTTAGTCTTCCTGGGAAGGGAATAGATTAACGGAAGCAAAAAGATACCAGGGGATCGCAAGTGATAAAGACTGGACTGCTTGCATGAGGTGCCCTTTCTGGGATTAGAGCCCCGTTTACACTGTGACTGGGACAGGGAAGCTGCCTTCGTGTCCCATGAACCGTTAGGACTCATGTTCTGTGTGACAGCCCTCTCCCTCGGCTCTCGTGATTTAAGCCTTGGTTCCCAAAGCAGTTCTAGCAAGTGTACATTCAAGTGCATCGGAGGTGAAAGGAAAAAACTTCGGAGAAGGAGAACCCTCCACATCTGCAGTGTATCCACGTGGACTTACAGAGGAACGGACCTTTCAGCCACCACTTGCCCTTGAAGCATACACAGCTGTGTGCTTCTTGAGGTATAGTCGGTCTGTGCGTGAGTGAGAACAGGACTCAGTTTCCCGAGACACTTAGTCGGGAGACTTATCTTCTGTTCTGTAACAGGTGTGTTATTCTTGGTACCTTCTTCTGTGAGAAAGAGTAACCTCCTCTGAATATTTGACTGTGTTTCGTCAGAATTAGAGTTGCTAAGAGTCTCCTCATTTCATTAGGTATTTACCATCTCTTCCCTCAGCTGGTTATGTGACAGGATGGCTTCCTTAAATGTACTGTTGATCTCATCCCATGAGGGATGCCTTTTTTTCCAAAGACAGAAACAAGTTCGTGCAAGTTCGAGCCCCTGTATATTCATGAAAGAATATAAAATGCAAGTTGAAGCCCCCTCTCTTGTTTAGGTCACACACTTGGAAGGCAGGTAGGTGGCCGTCCTGAATGCAGGGTCCCTTCTGTGTCAGTGCCTGTCCATGCAGAACCTCTTCTGGTTGTCACCGTCTGTGGCTGTCATTCGAACCCACTCATAGTCATCATTTTCACTGAAGATCCCACAGTATTTTTCCCTCTAAGGAGGCGCTTGTTTGGCATCTTCCTCTCTCTGCCGCTTGCTCTGCTGTCCACACTGAGGAGTCTGGTTGGTGGGATGGTGGGGAGATCGGGTGTATGACAACCCATTTCTCCTTTGAGAGATTCTCCTATGTCCTCGCTGCACTCACAGCTGAACTCGCGTAAGAATAGTCCGCCTTCTTTCTGTTTCTCTCCGACATGCCCTCAACAGATACTGACTGACTGCTGTGTGCCCCCCACCTGCTCCCCCTTTCTCTCTTGAACCCAGTGAGGTTAGGTTTTTACCTGCCTCTTCTGGCATCAGTGACCTCTCAGAGGTTAGACCCAGTGGCCTTCCCGGAGATTTGTCATCTGTGTGGGCCTGGACAACGCAGACCCACTTCTTCAAAACTCTCCTTTCCCTGCTTCCCCCTTGGCATCACTCTCTGCTTATCCTTCTGTGTTTCTGATCATTTCTCAGCCGTTTTCATAGTTTTTTTTTTTCTTCCTCTGCCCATTTAAATCCTGGTGCCTCAAGGGCCTGGCATTAGTGGCCTCTTTGGCATGTGTAGTTCCAGTGGGTGATCTCACTGAGTCAGCATCCCCGTCTAAGCTCTGTTCTGAAGAGCACAGCGTACACCCAACAGCCCCTTCCAGGTGGACAGACAGACAGACACCTCCGTGTGTCTCGTCTCATCCCTCTCCAACCGTAAAATTCAGTCATGAAGAATGGTGCCACCACTCCAACATGAAAGCTCACACTCAGCCTGTATCATCTTTGGCTTAGACTATTGCAGGCATCTGACAAAGTCAGCGCATGAAAGACACACTTAGCCTACTTTAGTCAGGATGGCGGTAGAGATATTTTGGGAGGGCAATGCTTAGGTGAAGGCCTGACTTGGGATGTGAGGCATGAAGATGAAGAAACGAGGCAGGAACAAGCTGTCTTTGTTCATGAACAGGAGTATGAAGGGTTGTAAAGGTATCACATCTTCCCAAATTGATCTATAGGTTCAATGCCATTTCCAACAGAAATTATAGTAGAGGCTGGGTTCAATATGACAAGCAGATATTTAAATTTATATGGAAAAGCAAAGGACTAAGAATGGCTGAGTGCTTCCAAATGTGAAGAAGAGGTTACGAGGTAGTAGATTTTGTTGTACGTGGTGCAGAGGTGGGCATTCCGAGCAGTGCCACGAAATGAGGAGCCTGCAGGATAACCCGTGAGTGTGTTGACCTTCACAACATGGTGGAGGTGGCTTGGCGCATCCGGGAGGACAGGCAGGGTGACTCCACACAGGGTGCTGCAACAATGCTTATCTGAAGGGAAAAGGTGAAATTTGGTTTCTGCCTCACGTGTTATCCAACCATCAATTCCAAATATATTGAGGTCTTAAATACAAAAAAATATATATTTCAATGTTTGCGCGGACAAGCCTAAGGGCAGGAAAGAATCCCTCGAGACATAAAGGACTAACCACAAAAGGAAAAGATGATTAAATCAACTGTTTTTTTTTTTAAGATTGATGTTAAGCTAATAATTTAAAGTAGTGAAAAGACAAACCATGACTTGAGATATTTGTATTACACTTGACTGACAAAGGATTAGTAAGCAGAATAGATAGAGGGTTCCTATTTAAGAAAAAGAGAAACTTGGCAGAATTAGACTGGAAAAGGCATTTCCCAGAAGAGGAAATACACATGGCTTATAAAAAAGGTGTTCCACAGCCTCGGAGATCAGAAATATGAATTAAGACAACAACGAGATCCCATTTTACATCCATATTTTGCAGAAGTTAAGGAGCCTGATGATACGGGGTGCCGAAGAAGCTCTGTGAGAACTCTCAGGGTGCAGGCACATGACCAGGCACCTCTGCTTCAGAAAACCATGCTACCTCCCAAAGTTGAACTCTTGCATGCGTTAGGATCTGGCTTACGACTCAGACTCCCCCTCGGGTATCCAACAGACTTGCACACATGTGCCCGGAGGTGTGGGCGAGAACGTTCATAGCAACATCTTCATGATAGTCAAGAACCGAAACACCCGAAATGTCGATCTGTCTGTAGGGGGATGGGTGAATAAGTTAGGTATATTCATACTAAGCGGTTATTATTCAGTAGTGGAAATGAATGAACTGCAGCTATACGGGACAATAAGAATGAATCTCAGGAAATAAGAAGAACAAAAGCAGACCCCAGGAGATCATGGGCTATGATGCTATTTTTATGGAGCTCAAAAACAAGCAAAACCAAAGAATATATTGTCTAACCGCATGTAACTGGTAAAACTATGTTGTAAAAAAAGAAGTAACAATGATAAACCAAAATTGAGCAGAGGAATTAACCCTGAGAGGGGGAACCTAAGCGGATCGCAGAGGGACACCTAGGTGGATGCAGGTCATTAGTAATACTCTAGTTCTCGGGTTGTATGATAGGTTTATGGCTGTTTGTTACATTATTCTTTATTAACAGAGTTTTATATGTATTAAATGTATTTCATGCATGTTTTAAGTCTATTTTAAATAAAGACAGAATAAGCAAAAATCTGGGATGGTGACTTTGCATATAACGTTGTGTATGTGTCAAACAGATTTTTTTCAGAAAGGAAGGACATGTCGGCCAGAGTGAACAGCAGTGCAAAGGCAGGGGCAGAGGGGTGCTTTGTGCATGGGCTTTGGTGAATGAGTGCATGCAGTGCCGTTTGCTCCGGCAGAGGATGTAGGAGGGGAGAAGAGATGAGTTTGGGACAAGGTTGACATGACTGAATGCGGGCAGCCGGATACATGACTTTGGAATTTAGGAAGACTGTCTGGCCTTAGGATTGGGAGGCTTCGGTGTGGAGATGGAGGTCAGGCCACAAGCGTGGACAGGACAGCCTGGGGAGGATGTGAGGAGGAGGGAGCCCAAGACAGAACTGGATTCCAGGAACGGGGTGGGAGGGCAGCCCTCTGGGAGAGTCCA